CGGTCACGGTCCCTTTCTCTCTCCCTTTCCCGGTCTCTGGTGTCTCTAGGATCCCGGAGGTCACGATCACGCTCCCTGTCCCTTTCTCTGTCCCGATCTCTCCTCGAGCGAGAAGGGTCGCGGTGGTGGTCCCTGTCACGGTCCCTTCCAAGATCCGCCCCAACCAAATCTCGTGGGCGTACACGGCTTCGACTTCGATCACGGTCCCTGTCCCTGTCCCTGTCCCTATCTTTATCATCCCGATGCCTGCTGCGGTCACGGTCACGGTCGTCCCTGCTCGGATCCCTATTGGTTCTGCGCCGCTTTTCGCGCTCCTCCTCCCGTCTCCTCCGCTCCGCATACTCCCCAGGGCTAATCTCCTTCGGACCATCCCTCCCAAACCGGACATGATTCGTGTTCTTGTTCTTGAGAATCGGTTTCGGGGCTGTGGTACTGCTGCTAGGGCTTGTGATACTACTGCTGACCTTTGAGTTATCATCTCCATTCACACTTGCCGGCGGCGACACAATCACCGGTTGACCGGCCGTCTGGGCATCCTGGTTGGTAGAGGCATTGATTGATGCATCACTCGCCCGCCGCCGACGGTGTCTCCTCCTTCTAGCAGCAGATGCATCGTCGCTCACGTCGTCCGTGTCTGAGGACTCACTGCTGCTGCTGTCCGAGTGCCGCCGGGTCTCTGCGCTGCGTCGGCGGCGGCCATCACTGGTCGTGTCGGGTGTAGGCCAGGTACTGTGTCTCCCCTGAGCAGCAGCAGCAGCATACCTCCTGGCATTCCTGACTTCGGTCGTTTGTCTGGCAAACTCAAGAATGTCTTTTTTGGTCAGCTCGCCTAGGACAGCAACAAAATCGGGACGAGCTTCGTAGCGCACGCCGGCCCTTTCGAGCACTTCGGGAGACACCAGCTTGCGCTTGATGCGGGTCCATTTCGCCTCTATGGGAATTTCTTTGCCCTTGCCGTCTGGTGCTAGACGGGTGTATTGTCGAGGAGTTGTGGGCTTGGGGCTGGGTATACCGTTGCCTACTGGGGGTGCAGGTGACATGAACGATGCTGCGGTGGTTGGTGGCCCTTGAGAAGGTGGTGCATCTGGGTAGGGCGGCATAGCCAGGGGTGGGACGTAGCGAGGGGAAGTGCCGTACTGGGCGGCGGAGGAAGAGGCAGAAAGCATGCCGTTGCTGGACTGGGACTTGTTGCCGGGGATGGCGAGCGGTGGAGGGCCGCCGGGGGTGAGGTAATGTCCTTTGCTGGGCGAGGTACCGGGAGAGGCGAAGTGGTGGTCATTTCCCGTGGGATAGGGGGCCAGTTGCATGGAACCCATGCGGGCGGCGAGAATGTCGGGGTTGTGGTTGTCGAGATCTATGAGGTCGCGGGTTGAGATCAAGGCACCTGCTTGGGATCCAGTGATGGAATCCGAGTCTGAAGCGTCTGGGGTTTGAACATCGTAGCTGTATTGGCTGTTGAGACCAGGGGTCCTATGGTGATGGAACGGCTGCAAAGCTCGTGGTACCTTGGGGTCATAGTCTGGAAACCTTGAACTATCTTGTTGACCGTTGGACGAGGCATGGTGATCGAGCAAACCACGAACGGACGGCGGTGAACCGGCGTGAGGGGATTGGTTGGCCTCGAGTTCGCGGATATACGCTCGTAGAACCTCCTGTTTCCATTGTGAGATGATGCTGTTTCACAAAGGTCCATTCACCGCAACAGGTATCACTAACCTTATTCTTCCTCAGGATCTCGGGCGAAAACCCCTCCTTTTCGAGCTCCTCCTTGAAGGTCTGCCAAGTATCCTCCCTCATTTCGGTGGTAGGAGACGCTCGGTTTTGGAACATCCTCGTCGCCACCCGTTCCAGCTTATCCTTGATCATGTCCAGCTGCTTGCCATCGGTATGGTTCAACACCTCCTGGGCATTCTCCGGGTTATGAACCTGCACGGCATCGAGAAGCTTGGCGATCTTGCGAGTCGGGGATTCCAGATCCAAGAGGTTCAGCCTCAACTGCAGGCGGTCATTCACCCCATCGCCATATTGGCGGAGGATGTCGTCCACTTCGCGCAGGGCTTCATCGCTGTCTTCGACGGCGGAGGCTAATCGTTTGGCGTAGATGTTATCGCGCGAAGTGTCCTTGAGGACCGAGTCCTGATCTTGGGATTCAACGTGCAGGTATTTCAAGGCTTGGTGCAGGCCTTTGAGGTCCTCCTCCATCCACTTGAGGGGCGCGTCGTCGGCGGCGTCATGATTGACCCGTTTGACGTCGCGGAGTAACTGACGAGCGTAGGCGTGGACGGACTCGACGGTCGGGGTTGAGTAATCGCCAGGAGGAACCGTCATCGGAATAAAATGGGGAGTGTGAAAGGTCTGGTGTTATGATGAAAGGTCCCACGTGGGGACAATCAGTGGATAGGTATGTGGGTTAGCTCTCGTGCTATCAGCGGAGTGCGGTGGTGGATTGAAGCTGCTGGTGCGTTATGTAACAGCGATTCAATGGTGTTTTTGCAGAACTTTGCCAGATGATGGAATCCAGAGAGTGAACGTCTGAGAGAAAGATGTTCGGGGGAAAGTTCAGGTCTGGTCTACTGTGACAAAGTTGTTGTTTGGTGATCGCCTCCAGCTAAGCCAAGGTTGGTTGTATGGAATCGGAGAGTTAGTGGTCGTGCCAAGGACCGGGACAGGTCAAAATTCGGACCCTTGTTGACCAAGACTGCCCGATGACCAAACTGGGGCAGTGTGGCTGCAAATCTTGGAGCAAGGGTGTAAGCAGGCCAAGCTTTTTTCCTTTTCGTCACCTGCCTTGGTAGCGCCGGAGATTCCGCGATGGTTGATGGAGAAAGTCAGGTCAAAGAGGGAGAGGGAAAAAAAAAACAAAAAAAACATGTGGATAGTGGGGAGCGAGCTTTGGGGAGGTGAAAGAGAAAAAACGGAGCTTGTCAGGTCTGCAATCAGTCAGGTTGGGAATCCGAAAGTCTTGGGCTGGGAGACTGTTGCCAACCAATGACGAAGGTACAGAGAGTGGGAATTGATGCCACTGGATGATGGTCACCGTGATGGAGGGTGGGTGGCAGCCAACTTGAAGGCGAATTAACAAACGACATATCGCGAGGGAAGCTGCTGGCATGGCGTCTGCAATCCTGAAAGGGGGAGACGGGTCGGAAGGGTGTCATATCCTGGGTATGATATGAAACTATGAATCCCTCGAAAGGAACTCGGTGGTGACACGGCGCAATGAAACAGACAGACAAACATCAGGGCTAACGACTAGTACTAACCGTTCCTGCTTCGACCCGTCCACCCGTCCGTTGTCTTGAACCGTTCAGTTAGTACTTACTGAAGGATACTTCAACTTGCGGACATGGCGACTTATTCGAACGGATCTTGGAATGCCGTGTCGATTCGTACCTTGGAGGGTCCATTCCGTTGTTTGGGTTTCGATGCCCTGTCTTGGCACGGTGACGTCGTTTGACAAGACGGACCCGGCCTTTTTAAGCGAGGTGCCTTGTGAGGGGCAACCCCGGCCAATCAAAATCGAGGATCTACTGGGTTAGGAAACGAGGGAGGGGTCTTTGGGCTTTGGCGCCGTTAAACGCCCCTGGAGCATGCTGTACTTTAGCTGCGCCACTGGTACCTCGAACAGGGAGCGGGCGGATACTTCAAGTACTGTCGGGTACATAGGTATCACCGTCAGATAAAATCAGGGTTCAATTCACTTTCCACAAACACATGAATTTTGACATCCTTCCTGTTTGGACTCGTATCTTCATCAAGACCTCGTATGATGAGTCTACATTTTCCACCAAAATCGTATAGAGAAGCCGTGTTCAAGGTGAAAAAGGCCTTTTTCCGGCACCGCTTAAGACCCCAGTACTATGTAATTCCGGTCGGGCTGTGCACGTCACAACGTCTTCCGTTTCCCCACATCTTCGCGAGGCTGTGAACCAAAGCTTCTTCATCCCTTCCATTCCATTTCCATTTCCATTCAAGACATAGTGTACAAGAGTCACCGATGGCTGGTATGGGAATAGCTCCAGACTAAAGGTGTATAGTGTACAATGCAGTCTGATGACCGACCGACCGACCGCCTTGTGCTTGTGCTTGTGCGTCTCCACCTTCACTGCAGTTACCAACCGGGGGAAATGACTTGCATCTTGCATATCCGACATACAGTACGACTCCGTGGTACACTACACACACCGACGCAACTAAAGCAGATAGGCGAACCGCTTCTACCGCCGCCTAGAAACGCAGGCAAACTCACAGAAGATCAAAAAGGCAACTTTAACCTCTTCTGTGACACACTCGGTAGCCCTTGGCATCAAAATGTGCATTTTGACTACCTACCTCTACCTCTACCCACACTACTGAATATCCGCTCATTGGTCGATATAACCTCTAGACCGCACTGCTTACCGTAATAGTCAATATATTTACACTGCTCAGGGTTGAGTCACCACCTCACCTTCTTCTTCTTCTTCTACACCTTGCCGTGCCGTCAAGGTCTGGCAGTCAAGTGCTTACATTCTATCTACCCAGCCGGGCCTGTTTCGGGATACATGTACCGAACGAATGGCATATTCACACCCCTTCAGGTTGGCAATTTGGAGCCGACGGTGTTGCTTTGGGTGAGCGCTGCGATTGAGCCGTCAGCCGTCAGCCTCACAAGACATAAAAGTCCTAGACACGACATGTTCATTTTGAGGCAACGAAGCCTCCTCACTCTCTTTCAGACCAGCAAGCAAACAGTTACATGTTGGGTCATTTGGTGGTTGCCTTGTTTTAGTCTTATCTCCATTTGCGGATGCGGCTCCTCGCCAAATATTGATGCCAGCGGATGAACCAGTGGAGTGTCACAAACTACCTCTAGGGTACATACCTAACATGCTTCCGCCGCGTGAAGCACCGCGCGGTTAATGCACTTGAAGGGTGCTTTTCTTGCTTTCCACGTTGTATCCAGTATACCTAGGTAGGTAGCCAATTGAATTGTACTACTATCGCATCACATGCGGGTCTCCTCCTTCCATATGACGGTTGTCACAGGAAACTCTTCGAGTCTGGTTGGAGACTACAGGTAGGACGGGTTTGGACACCGAGGCCTCTTATGTCATGTTGCTTGATTCCTAGTCGGAGCAACCTCCATTACCGATTTCCAGCCAGCCGCGTATTACGACGTCGACGTCCCCTTTCCTACTGGGTCATTGAAACGTCCCCGTCGTCAGCCGCAACTGCAACCGTAGCCACATCCGTAGCCTCACCCGCCAACTCATCCACTCCCTGCTCCCCACCTTTTACTCCTGCTATTGGCTCCGCTAGCTCGTCGGGTTGAGCAGCCTCGTCGACCTCGACAACCCTCGCCATATTCTTCCTCGGCCTACCCCTCTTGGGCTTAGCTGTCTGTACAACGCCCGTTTGCACGGGGGCAACGTCCGACATAACCTGCTGAGCCTCCCAAGGAACAGACACCTCCGACGCGCCAGAAACGCTACCAGCCGTCTTTATCTCTTCCTCCCCCCCAGCAACAGCGTTTCCAGAGTGTTGGAAGTCAGCCAAGTATTGGAGCGTGAGATCAGTCCAGCCCCTCCCGCCCGTCTTCTCCACCAGGAACGGATTCAATTCTCCTCTGAACCACCTCTCCTTCCTTTTCACACTCCTCTCCCCGCCTTCCAGCGCTGATAGTGCAGCTCGGGTTGTGCGCATCCTTTTCGTTCCCGTCCCCCCTCCCGGGTTATTGAACCCCGTTCCCAAAGCCACATTTGGCCCCACGCCGCCTCCGTCCGCGTTACTCGTGCCAGCACCTTCGCTTACGCTAAGCAAACTACTCATCTTCAACCTCCTCCTCTGCAGATTCGATTCATAAGCGACTATGCTCCGCACGTAGGGGGCGACGTCCAGTGTTATGAGGCCCATGGTGCGGTCGAAGACGGAGGGGTCCAAGTAGGATGTCGTGGATGCAAAGGAGTCTGAAGTGGCGATAGGGTCAAAGGCAAAGGCAAGGTCGATTCGGTTGATAGTTGGTTGCTCGGGAGAAGATAGGGAGAGGTTGGTCAAGGATTTGGTGATTATGTTGAGGGCAGAGGATTCGTTTAGTGGCTGGAGGGTATCAGTGGATATAGGATGTTGGACGAGTGATGAGGTCCGCGACCGTAAAACGGAGCGAGATAGCGATTTGATGGTTGCTGGAAGACCCGTATTGAGGGAGTCGTGGAGAGTAAGAGGAGGAGAATCGAGCGGCGTTAGACCGAGGACGTTGTCGTCGCGGGCTTTAGCTGGGGGCTCGGGTAGTGTGGCGTCTAGTGGCTCCTGTGATATTACTGTTAGCGAACACAATTATGTGAGAATTGAATATCTTACCTCGTTCAGTGTTCCAAATGACCGAGAAGAGCAGAGATCCGCTGCGCTCAGGGCATCAGCCAGTTCCTCAAACGCTTCAAGAGCCTCAAGCCTTCCAGCCCCAGACGAAGGCATCCCTTCCGCCCATGGTTCCAGCCCAACAGAGTCTTGCCAGCTCCCCATATCAAGGCCCCACGAATCCCAAGTTTGCTCCAGTAACTCTTCCTCCACTAACCGTCCATCAGTAGCCTTTCCGATCACAGGGTCTCGTCCGAGCCAGTTCATACCCCTGAGATATGTGCTCTGACTAACAACCCTCACCACATCCCCGTTCTCGTCAAGATCACAGCCTCTCGGCCACCTCGGATAATACCAATCAAAGCCTCCCTTCCTATCCCCGACGCCTATCTGGCACCAATACTGCAGATCCGTGGTCGCGGCGCGGAGGTCATGGCCGCGAGACTCGTATAAAGATGCGACGGCTTGTCGTGTGAGAGCGTGACCTTCGTTAGCTGCTACCAGCAATAGGCGATCAACCGCAAGATCTGTAGGCGGTGGACTTAGCCGGAAGATGCCGTGTAGTCTGAGGGTATGGAGGGGGAGTAGAGTCTCGTCGTTGCATGTCATGATGAAGGGTCGTTTGGCTTGCGCGATAAGGGTGACGATGGTGGTCCAGAATTGCTTGTCTTCTTCGTAGAGAATGTCAACTTCTTCGAGGAGAATAAGGGATTGTCTTTGGACCTTTCCGCTGTCTTTTTTGACCTCTTTTGGTTCGCTGGTGGGTGGTGGCTTAGTGGGCTGCTTTAGTTTTGCTGCAGTGGTCTTGGGCCGGAAAAAAGCATTCATGGTTGCCTGCTTGCCAGATTTAACCTCCTCTGCAGTGGCATCTTCTTGATCATCACCAGCTTTGTCGGAGGAGGATTGGTGCTGCTGGACGAGGTGATTCCTGGTCATGTCGCCAATCTTTTCAAGCACATCCTTGCCGCTCCTTCGGCTGCTCGAGTTGATCTCGAAGACCTCAAAGTCTAGTTCTTTAGCCACTGCGTAGACGGCAGCTGTTTTGCCGCAACCGTGAGGGCCGCTGATGACTAGTGTGTTTGCGATTTTGGAGGCATCTTTCTTGGACAAGTCCCCGGATTTGACGACGGTTTTCCTTGTGATGCCCCGAAAACCACTAGGTGCCCAGTTGGCTCCGTCGTCCGAGTCTTCGTCTAGCTCGAGCTCGTCGTCGCTAGAGACAATAAAGTCGTCGAGCTTCTTTCGCCTCTTTTTCCTGCCAGGGCCAACAGCCTTGGCTTTTTTCGGTTTGTCGGAATCGTTCGAGCCGGTCTCTACTGATTGCACCTTCAACGCACGAAGCCAGTCTCGCAAAAGAAAGGCTTCGTTGCCGGGCTGCAGGACCTCGGTGGCGTGGATAGGGCCGTACTTTTGTGTCCAGTTGCTGGTTTCGCATTGGCACTGATCGAAGGCTGACAGGGAGAAGGATAGGGAGTCGTATAGGCGGGCAAGTTGAGGGGGGGCTTTTAGTTGGCCAGATGCTTGCGCTGTCCTGAATGTCTTGAGCTCCGGCAGAATGCGCTGCTGTAGTTTTCTCCCGCTCTCAAAGTGCTTGGTGGGAAGTCGAAGCTCAGAAGGTGCAGGCATGAAATCGTCCGTGTTGAAGTCGCGAAGAGCTTGTTTTACAGACTCGATTCCCATTGAGGTGCTAATCAGATTTACGATCGACTCTTGCTGGTCCACCTGGATTGACTGGCCCTTGGATTTGCGGGACGGCAAAGGCAGCTGAATGTTTTGGTCCATAGGTACATCATGGTCTCCGCGCACATGTACCATATCCTTCCACGGCCATGCTGGGCGTTGTGCGCCAGGGAACTTTAGGGGCACGTTTTTAGTGAAACCGAACTGGGGCATTCGTCCAGTGAAGGCCGAAGCACGCGGCTTCTTGGGCGAACATGGTGTAGACATGAAAACCTTCTGCGAAGGTTCGCTAGTGGTAGGCTTGTCGTTCTTGGGTTCAGCAGCAGGGGGCGCAGCTGCGGATCCCTTGGCTTTCCCCGAAAAGAAGGGATGTGTAGATTTTGGGTTGGCGGGCTTGGAGGCTGGAGGTTTCTTGGCTCGCTGGCTGGTCCGTTGCGGTTGTTTTGGGGCCTTGAGAATGGCTTCAATCTTCTCGCCCACTCTCGTGCGTGCCTCGGCATCCGACTCGGAGCTATACTTGATAGTCACAACCTTGGACTCTGGCTTCTTTACGCGTGATGGCTGTACCCTCCTCTTTATTGTTGGCGGTGTCTCCTCGGTTGTCTCTGGTTGCTTTGGTTTGGGAGGTGACCCAATCGTTCCTGTTTTGGGATTGAGGCGGAGAAGTTTTGTCGGCTTTGGAGGCTCGACATTGGCGCCAGGAGGGATAACTGTAGGCGGCGGGGATGATCGTATATTGACGTCGACCAGATTCCGTATAATGCCAGTAACATCATGTGCGGGAGCCGGTATGGCATCCTCGAGCTGGACAGGCGCTTCTATTTCATTTGTGCCTTGTTGTGGTAGCTCTGCCTCTTGTTGCGTGGTTGTGATATCCTCTTCTTCCTCTTCTTGTCCGGCATCCTCCTTTGTCTTTTCTAGTCTGATAAAATGGGTTGCGATACCCGGGCCGACATTGGGTTTTGTCCGTTTCCTTGTCTTTGGTTTCTTGTGGTCCTGGTCGTCTTCTAGGTCCGGGGACACCTTGCGGCGCTTGCTCCGTCTCCCAGCTGCCTTCTCCAGGGTGTCATGTTCAACTTTTGGCCCCACGGGTTCGTCGATGGACATTAGGGAATCCTCGGTCGTGTCTGGTTGATGGGGAACGGAAGGGGTTTGTGTCGGAGCTGGAGGAGCAGGCTGTCGGTTCGGAGCAAAAAAGGGATGCAACGGCTTGCGAGCCGCGTCTGGAGAGTTGCCATTTTCGACCATGGCGAGGACAGCGACTGGTGTCATGGAGTGGTAGTAGTAGTACACGTTGGGGGGAGAACTGTAGATGATTTGGTTAATTCAGGTAGCCGGTTTGAAGTCAGGAGATAGAATGGTTACGGGGAGGGAGACATACTGGGAGACGACGGATTATCAGGCAGAAATCATGCTTCTGTTATGATGAGTGGTGACGGTACCTCTGATCAAAGATGAAGGTGGTGGATCCAATGTCACAAATATCAAATCGATGCGAACTCCAATTGACCTAATAGAGGTACAGTAAGTCCTCAGCTGCAATGCCGGATTCAGGCTGTGCATTGGCTGCGACACGGGCTCACTGTTGAAAGGAGTCGCGGGAGGGGAGGCATCGATGCTCCGGCTTGCATCATCTTACCTAGTGATGTTCAGGGTGACCGCGTTCTGCCACTTTAGCACGCGTCTTACACTGGAGCGCCTGCCTCTAATCCGGTCCCTTGCCGGCCGCATGCTCCAGTGATCACCCAAGTCGTGTCGCACTCGCGCATCTTTCAGTACTGGGTACTATGTAGAGGTACCTACCTATGTACCTGGGCTGCCTGCCCCAGCTCCCGTCGTCCATGACAAAATAGATGAGACCAGCCACTTGGTCAAATAAACCAGTCCAATACCGCTCGTTAGAATTGCAAATGGCTTTTGCTAAATCGAAATGGAGATTGATTTGATCCAAGAAGACGTTGGTCAGAGTTCATTTAGCATGTTGAGGAACAGGAATCGCTCAGAATACAAATGCAAAGGAGTGATCAAGACGCTTGGATGCGTACCTAGTCAGACTATGCCCAAGGTGTTATACCAAAGGTCTCAACTATTTTGTCCAGGACGATGGAGCCCAGATGGTCACCGCATGTGTCAGACACTCGGGTCCGACACGGGACCGTGCACCACGCTGCTATGTACCTTGCACACCCCTAGGCCTCCAGAAGTCCTCTTTTGGGGAGTCAGTCTCATCATCTTCCAAACAACCTAATCCAATTGGTTACCTCTCCAAAGCCTCTTCCCTGACAGCATGTGCCCCACCAAGGAAGCAGCCGAGCACTCACCGAAAACTGAGGTCAGAGCTCACCTTGGACTCACCGTGCTCCCCAGAAAATGCCCCACTTTCTCACGTCCACTCCACGGTCAAAGGCCCATTTATTTTTCAAAGTCTTGGCTTAACTTTTTTTCAGATCGCAGTCTTTTGAACGAGACGCAGTCCCTTCCCCCCCCGGCACAGAGACCTGATCAGAGCTTCAGTTTGGTTTCGAGATTGGGGACGAGCGATGCCAACAAGAACACAACAGTAATCACGAACCTCCGGCATACCCATACTGTACTCTACGATACCCCGTTTGTCTGCATTCACAGCCATGGCGACCACCCTCCAAATACACAAGCCGTATGTGCTAAAGGCCTTGTCGCATCCTCTCGACCGTCCCGACGGACCAGGAAAGCACACTATCGGCGAGGTCTACGGCCAGCTATCAGGGCCCGCCTCCAAAAAGAGGAAACGCTCCGAGCTCGCCGTTGCCATTGACGGCGACTCGGTCCATCTCTACGATGTCAGTATCCTTCTGTCCGTCTGCCTTTCCTTGGTATCGCCAACTAACTCTTGCTCCAGATCCCCTCGGCGCAAGCCATCACCTCCTACCTCGTCCCTCCCCAGGCCTACTTCACCTGCGCCCCCTACTCGCTGCGATGGAGATCCGCTACTTCCAAGACCGCCTCTCGCTACACCTATGCCTCGACACAAGACTCCCTCTCGGCCAAGAAGGAGATCAAGCTGTTCAAGGACGTCGTTGCCGAAGCTGGAAACACCACCTCGACCACTGCCACCTACGTCCACCGTTGCGCTAAGCCCGTCGTCCATCTTTCGGCTACCTCAGTACGCACCTCCAGAGACACCTTGACCAACCAAGATACCCCCGCCCACGACGTCATCGCTGTGGCCGCCGACGGCACTCTGATCAGCCTCGCCGGCGAGACCCTTACCGAAAAGTGGCAGTCGTCGCCCTCCATCCTCACCCAGGAGCTGCCCTCCAACACTGGCTGCCATGTCGACTTTGTCCAGCCCGCCCTCGCGGCCGATGTCATTGATGGCATGTTTGGTGGAAAGAACGAGCTGTTTGGCGTCTTCCAGGAAAAGATTCACCGCCAAGGCTTCAACCCCGACATTCTAGTGCTCGTCACGTCGCCAGAAAAGTCCGAGTCTTCACGCCAGAGATACTTGCACATTCTTGCCCTACCAACCGAGAGGGCCTCCCAACAAGTAAACCAGCAGAACGTCATTCCCATCTTCGCCGCTCCTCTCCCAACCAAGACCGGTGCCGCCAAGTTCCAGCTCGATGTCAGGTCAGGCACTTTGCAGGAGCTGGCCGAGGGCGTCCTTTACACATATGCTTTCAACGGCGGTATCCCCCGTCTCGAGAATAAGCTGGAGGTCCCGGAGATGACCTCCTTCTTGCGCCTATCCAAGACCTCGGTTCTTGCTGCTACCGCCGACTCCCTTACCATCTACAACCCCGTCTACCGCTCGCTCCAGGCTACTGCTCCCCTTGAAGTCGGCGAGGGTGCCTCGTGCGAGCTTGTCACCTACCTTGCTAGCCGTGAGATCGCGGTTGGCCTTCGCGGAACCTCGTTGATTGCCGTCCAGATTGAAGCCCCCAAGGCCCGTACCAGCAAGCGCCGCGCTGAAGGCCTCCTCGCAGATTCGATCCGCCGCGGTCTTCCCAGAGCTCAGCCTACTCAAAAGCGCGGCCATGTCGAGCTTCCTCCTTCAGCTATCCTTGCAGAGGCTCTCCCTGGCACCATGACGGAGGAGTACCTTGCCCAACTGGCGGCTGATACCGCCAAGGCGGACGAGTACCTTAACGCCAACAACCTGAAGGGTTTCGAGGAGCTGCTGGCAGGCCAGTTCAAGATCCAGCTAAAGGCTAAGAAGGAGAAGAAGGAAAACAAGGATAAGAAGGTCAACAGCACTACCGAAGACAAGACCGAGACCTTGGACCTCCCTGAGTGGTCCTGGCCCTCCAAGCGCTCCGACTACCCCCAGGTCGACCGTCGCTGGGTCTTTTACGCCATCAGCCGCGTTTTCTCTTGGACCAGCTCCAGCGAAAACCCAAAGGCCACACATCTCTCCTGCCGCCTTGCCGAGAGCAGCGTGCTCAACTACCTTGTCGACGCTGGCCACCTGACCATCTCCAACATTAAGTCCGCCTTCAAGGAAGAGATCCGCGAACTCGGTGACCAAGTCGACAACGTCATCGGCGAGGAGCTTCCGGCCGTCCTTGTCGAAGTCGACCCAGCAATGGAGCTTCTCGTCGTCTACCTCTCCTCCACCCAGACCTCTCCCTCCGAGCTCGTAACATCCATCAAGCTCATCCTCAGCAGCCTTGACTTGCTCAACAGCGCCAGTGCTCCCAAGCTGCAAGAGCTGGTCCTCCGTCCCTCTCCCAACGCCACCACGACGTCCTCCGAGGCCGACAAGCAGCCTGAGGACACCGAAATGACCGACGATGATGCCGCCATCACCAAGCAACTCGACCAAGCCGAGCAAGAGCTCCAGCTCACCGAGTACCTCGCCGCCACCACCTCCTCGCGCTATCCCCTCCGCGCGCGTGGCCTCTCCGCCGCCTTCTCCAAGCTTTCTGCCTGCCCCTCCCTCCCCACCGTCCAGACCCTCCGCCGTCTGCTGACAACAGAGGAGATTGTTTGCCTCATGAACGTGCTTCGCAACGAGATGATCAAAGACGGCTGGACCACCAGCTACGTGGCCGACGAGTTGCCCGAAGAAGAGCAGGAAGCGCCGCCCGATGGCTCCATCAAGCTTATTGCCGATTTGTTGAGCAGGTGCATTGACGCCGTTGGCCTAGGCGGCTGGATGGGCTTCGACGCTGTCTTGGCCTCGTGGGGCAGCCAGCAAGACGCCGCCGAGTTCTTCAACTACTTCCAGAATGAGGTCAGCGTGGCGTTGGAGGGCCTCAATGAAACTGTCAGGCTCCAGGGCATGATTGGCGAAGCTACCAACTACGCCAAGAGGGCGAATACGTTGCTTAGTGCTGCTGCGAAGCCCAAGGCCTCTTCGGAGGGTGAAGGTACCGCGGTCGTGCAGCTGTCGGCGGGTCCTCTCCCGCTGGGCCTCAAGACGGAGGAGAAGATTGGTTTGGAGAGAGTGCGTGGTGGTGGAGAAATTGTGCAGAGGAGCATGAGGCAGATCGGTATGTTTGTGAGCAAGAAGAGGAGAGGGTATGAGGTGCACAGGATTTCGGAGGAGGGCTTACTGAGCAAGGGGAGTGGACGGCCTAGTTTGGTTGTTCAGGAGGCTCTTTGAGTATGGGGACAAGAAGTGTTGAAAAGTAGGGGCATACAATAGATGCTGCTTGTGATAGATAATAGGATGGATGGGTTGTTTGTGAAAGAAAGAACGTGCGTCTCAGATCGGTATGTGGTGAGCATGAGACTGGGTAGGTTTGTGAGTGTCACATGTAGAACACAAGAAAAACAAGGGAGGAATGTCAAGAGGAACATGGAAGGGAAAGTCATTGCGATACCCGATGGAAAGGGGAGAAGTATAGATGTTAGATTAAGGAACAATTGGCCAAACCCCTTTCGAACGATGACCGTGACAGTGAATTAGAAGATACCAGTGCCTTAGCCCCTTTTACTTTTACGCCTCCTTTCACAAGCCCTCAAAGACTTGAACCTGTTGACCGAAAGCCTGTCCCCCCTCCCCCCAATAACGGGGGATGTCACGCTTCTTGCGTCAAAAGAGCGGGAGGACGGGATTAGTGATTCACCGGAGCAGCGAAGGTGTCATAGGCCGATTCTATCCAAACACACAAAGCCAGTATAGAGACTCGGCACAGGTACTCTGTCTAACTCATATAGTCGATAACAATCAAAGTGCCCGCGAAGTTGGGACATTTGGCATTTCACACTCTCGTATCCACTCTCTTTTTTTTTTCTTTTTTTTTTATTCTTTTTTTTTTTCCCCTGGCCAGGTAATGAGACCATTCACACGCAAAGTACCGGGACCTACGCTGCCTCACTTACTTCCCTAGCAATACTCTAGCCGGGCCTTCTACAAAATGCCAACGGTTGAATAAGGTAACATTGTCTCTGGACTCCGGCGCCGTTAGTATGTACATGTAATGTAGGGTGCAAGTCGGAGGCTCGGCGGTATGTGGGGTGTGGAGCAATCCACCGGACCGGGGACGGGACCGGCACGGAGATCACGGGGACCACGGGCGAGTACATCGGTCTCCCCTTTGCCGCTGGCAACTCCCGTCACCTACGCAAGCAATGCAGGATCAAGAAGGCCAGTCGCCCACTTGAGTAACCTGCCTCTGGAAATTCGGGTACTGTACCTCGCTACGCTAGCTACACTACACCGATGAAGTGGTCGCTAATAGCCAGCTGCCCAAAAGTGACCCGTCAACTTTGAGAAAACGCATCCTAACGGGTGTCGGATATATCTCTAATTGGTAGAGGTATCGGAGATTTCTAGGAAACGATAATTCTTTTCACTGGCTTTTTGGGCGGTATTATTACCTATGGATGTAGGATCCTTGTCGTCCAAGGACATGGAGCAATTAGCCACGCGTGCTAGTGTTGAGCTGAACAGCCGCAAATCAATAGTGCGTGCTTCCCGTTCCAATAGTGACGAGGTCCTGGGAAATTGTAGATGTTCTAGGCCAGAACGTTCACGGTGGGTTTTTTTTTTTAACTCGTCATCTACCTACCTACATATACCAATGGAGGTCCGCGCAAGTTGTGTGTTGTGACTACCTACCCTCACTCCTACCTCAGTCGCTCCTACCTCAGCCGCTCTTTACCTACCTAACTTTCTCGCCCATTGTCTGTCGTTCGTTACCTACGCTCGTTTATTGTAAGAACCAGTTTTGGAAGATGAAGTTCGCTGGGCATCATGGAGTGTTGCCCGTCTTGGTTGGGGTTGCGGCGGCATCAAGATGTAAACCCCATCCTCCTTCGTCTTCTACCTTGATCACCACCCCGACCATCAGCTCAGTTCCGGCCAGCTCAGTTCCGGCCAGCTCAATTCCGGCCAGCTCAATTCCAGCCAGCTCTGTCTTGATCAGCTCAGCTCCGGCCAGCTCTGTCCTGTCCGGTTCGTCGATTCTCTCCAGCTCGATCCCCTCTAGCTCGTTGGTTCCCACGTGCGGCGGCGCTCAGTGTCTTGCCGCCATCACCGCAGTCCCTAGCATTGGCGATGCCTTTTGCTCATCATGGCTATCCTGGACCCCTGCCACGACCGTCGTCACCGAAGTTGAGACGGTCACTTCGACCCACACCAACTTGGAGACCGTGACGGCTGTGGTTACCTTGACGACGGCAACAGTCACCGAGTAAGTCTCTTGTGTTTTTGTTGTGACCCTATGTCATGCGCACGCACTCCTCTCTGTTTATGTTACCTGTAACTGACTCCCGTATCAAGAACCGCTGGCACGACCACCTTGTTCCAAAAACGCCAGCTGCCCTCCGCCGATCCAGCCGAGTCCATCTTCTCCGAATGCGATTCTGCCTCGGCGAGTGTTAGCAGCGCCTGCAGCTGCCATTTCGCTGGGTCTACTACCTCGACCGTGATTGTCACCGAAACAACCACTTCGACTGAAATTCCCGAGTACACTGTACGTGCCTGGCCACCTCCCGTCTCTCTCCTCTTACATCCATCCACACAGCGTGCATACTAACATAATATGCAAGGGCACCCTGACCACGACCGAAACCACCAACGTGATCCAAACGGTCTCCGCCGAAGCCACCCGCGTCGTCCCCGTGCAGCCCATCCTCAACTCGGGCCTCGAGTCTTACCGTACAACCGGCAACATCTCACCCTGGACCGATACCGTGTCCACCACGGGCGGCCGGTTGGAGATCGTCAACGGCGTGAACCCGTGCGCAGGGGCCGGCGACTGCGCCGGCGGGCAGGTCGTCATCCGCGTCTACCCCCCGACGAGTGGCGGCTACACGGCCATTCGGCAGACGTTCCTCGCCCGCCCCAACACGTCGTACAATTTCAGCTTCATGTACCGCTGCCTCAACTACAACAACGCTGCCTACATGAGCGTCTGGTACGCCGGCCAGCTTGTGCCCAACGGCAACGTGCAGTGCAATACCCCCGGTGCGCCGTTCGCACATCCCAGAGTGGGCCCGTTTACGACGGACGAGACGGGCGTGGGAGAGATTGAGGTCAGGTTCCATAACCCCGGCGGGTTGCCTTACTTGTACATGTACGCGGATGCGTTTGAGGCGACCGTGGCTGTGTAGGTAGATGATGAAGTTGAAGGGGTTCGGGTGTGAATAAATGTCCAGTGGTGTTTATACACTGGAGGTATGTATTCTCTGGAGGTAAAAATAAGAAATTTGAAGTGGTGTATCCTTTTCTTGTATACACGGAGTTGGGGGATTATACCTTGGCTAGCTAGTATAGACGTGGTGTTAGTAATCTAGTGTAGACACAAGGGCAACCTTTGTATACCTCTACAATTTCAACAGAAGCTGACCAACGGAAACAAATGGCGTGATTGGAGACACCAGGACAGGAGTTGTGCAGGAACGTACTCAAGAGCAGATCTTGAGGCAGGTAGGTTCTTGTTCTAGGACGATTTCAGAGATATAATGACGTCTTTGACCCCCAAAAACACGGCCTGAGAGAGAGTAGGGTGGTGATAGAGCTCTCAAGATGACTTACGAAGAGGTTGTAAGCTTACCACAGAAACGGAGTCAGAGTGTCCTGTAAGCATTCGAAGTATCGTAAAAAAAAAACACTATCAATGTTCTATGTAACATGTCATTGGTCAGCCCTAGTTGTGGGCCCACAGACAGCGCCCTCAACCTTTCTATCGAATCCGACGGACGGCAAGCTCAACATGCTGGACATCAGATGAGCCTGATGAGCAGAGGAGGAAGAGCCAGGCTGCCCGCTGAGAAAAGAGGAGCATCAAGACTATGCGCATAGGATGATGAGTGAAAGAGCTTACAAGTAAAAAGTGGTAAAGGAGAAAAGCACCCTGGCTAAATAAAGCGGGTTGTGCAAAATGGACAAAAAAAACATACAACACCTGGGATTCGCTGGTCGTCACCGACCCAACTACTAGTCAGGCCCTCACTGGCTTATCTATGGGAGAGCGGACGGGATCCCGAGTTTTCCAGTGGGTATGGTCGTATGTGACATGGAGCGTAGTAAGTTGTGTTTATATTGGATGTCTGGTGGGTGTAAAGACTGACAACAAGGAGATGATGCTCTGTTGGTCGGGGGAATGTCGTCCGATTTCCATGGGGAGAACTTGATGTTCAGTTCCACTTTTAGTCGCATGCCTACAGCAAGTCCTAGGTCCGATCGATGGATGATCAAGCTATGGTACTTCAGTTTTGTCTCGACTGCACTTGGAGGGCAGTTCACTTCTTCTAGTACTCCTGAATGTTCACTCAATTCAACCTCTTCACTTAGTAGAGTACTTGTAGACATTGTCACGATTGCCACCATGATGCATCGGCAAAAGGAAATACCCCTAACACGGCGCACAAACGATTGCTAAGCATTGTTGATATCAAGTGCCAGCGCAAAAGGGTATGTATCAATCGATCTGATAATGTCAGGAAAATCCAAGGTCACACCCAAGAAAAAAGTGTTGAGGATTTTTCCTGCAGCGAAGAAGGAAGTTGGGTTGGGAGAGTTGCAGCCAGTGGCACTTTGGCTGACCCCACTTGGCATTGTTGTCGTGCTAGCTTCGCAACTGTGGTTGGTTCGTTTCAGGGTTGCATGTGAAATCGCCCGTGTTCGCAAGCTCGTTGGTTTTTTTCTTCTTTCTTTTTGGTTTGAAGGTTGCCGGCCCACGCGGTGACCATAGACTAAGTAGGGTACATAAAGCGAATGTCTCACAATCACAAGCCACAAAGCGGGCTTTGATACCTACCTACCTCTAGGTACACATGGAAGGTCGGTCTGAAGACTGAGTGCTCTGGCAGTGGAAGTGTTCCGTGGTTTGATCTGCTTCCTTGTGAAGCGGAAGCGAGCCGGTGGATCCTAGGTCTTGCTCCAGATACATACCCCCGCCTGCCTGCCTGCCCCTGCCCCTCGAGTTGCCTGCCCGCTGCCGCTGCCCCCCCCCCCCCCCCAAAGTCGATGCGGATCTGGCCGATGAAGAATGTCAAATTGCAAGCAGACACGACGCTAAGACCCTTTGTGCATGGACTAGGCAGGGGCTGCCATTTCCTATTGGTGCGAATTTGGGCGGTGAAAAGTCTGGGGCAGGCAAGGGCAAGGCCACCAAATTTGGAAACCGAGTTTTTCTTGTTTTGGGAATTGATGGTCGCCCGACTCGAGAGGGTTTGAGACAGCTTGAGCTGAAGCTGACGGCTCAACGGTGCTGCAGAATATCCGGGGAAGAACTGAAAAAATGGATATGTAGAGGTACACAGTAGTATATACTTGTGTAAAGTGCAAGAAGAATTGGAGCTTGAAGAGGAAAACGAAAGAAGTGGAAAGGAATGCTTCTATGGAAGAAAGTGGAAGGTACAAAGACCCAGCAAGAACCGCTCACCGCGCCATGGCTCGTTTGCTGGCAATCCTCCAGGAAAAAAAAAAAGCCAAACCGACTTTCAAAAAGGCCGATCTGCAGAACCCCTATCAGATTAGGCGCAAAGAGGATGAGCAGGAACCCAAGGAAAAGTCTGGCCACCCCATTGGTTCCCCGCCAGTTGTCAACCCTTCACCTCTGCTTTCATTCCTCAATCCTCACCGCAGTGTCAAGTCCCTCCGTCTACACCACTACCGGTGAACCACCCATCAGACCAACAGACCCAAAATCACAAGCATTTCGTTTCCCCCTTCGTCTCCTATTGGTGTCTTCGTCTCCCTTTTTTTGTTTTCGCCATTGGTCGCCTCCCCAGTCGAACTTCAAACCGCTCACCCCTCTCCTCGTTCCAGCCCGTCCTCTCCCGAATCTGGATCCTCCTGCCCGAACCCGCTCGTTTCGCTTTCGCTGGTGACGGTTGGTCAGTGTCAAAGATAAACCGCGCTAAGCATTTTCGCCTTGTGGATACCGTCTCCCAAACTGTCCCTGGGCCTGGGGGGGGCCCCTGAGGAGCCACCTATGTTACCCCCCCCCCCCCCCCCCTTGCGAGTGAGGGGAAGGTCAAGGACCCCAGGTATGGAGACCAAGGGATAGATAAAATAAAAAAGCAAAATAAAAATTAGAAAAATCAAATGTGAAGAAGGAAGAGAGAGCAAGAAACACTCCAACGAATGCGCACATGGGACAAAAAAAGGAGACGGGGAAAAAAAAACACAAAAGGAGCGCCGAACGATATCGGGGCCGTGCAGGGTTGAAGATGGTACAAAAAAAGAGGGAAAAAGGAGCTAGCGCAATGCCTGTTGTCTGGACAAGGCCCATTACACTAGGACGCAGCTTGCGTGCTGATTAGATAGACTAGCTCACGCAGATAGAAGGAGACCCCATAACTTTTTTTTTTCCCATCCCATCCCGTCCACCACCCTTTTGGCTGTCCCGTCCCCGACTCCCTCTTCCTTTTTTTCTCTTTCTTTTCTCCCGAGCCTCTTCATTTTTCTCCCATCACCAATTTCTTTTTCTGAAAGAGGTGTGTCGAGTGTGAGTTGAACCTCAGGTCTTCTTCCACACTACCTCTACCCTCCTCTTCCTACCCTCTTTCTTCACTTCTTGGATATCCTCAAGAAATATCACCACACCCAACAAACATGACGGTCACTACCCGCAGCCACAAGGCCGCGGCCGCCACCGAGCCCGAGGTTGTCAGCACCGGCGTTGACGCCGTCTCTGCTGCTGCTCCTCCCTCCTCCTCTTCTTCTAGCCAAAAGTCGGCCGAGCCCATCGAATACCCCGACATCAAGACCATCCGCGACGCCATCCCCGACCACTGCTTCCGCCCGCGCGTCTGGATCTCCATGGCCTACTTCATCCGCGACTTCGCCATGGCCTTTGGCCTCGGCTACCTCGCCTGGCAGTACATCCCCCTGATCGCCTCCACCCCGCTCCGCTACGGCGCCTGGGCTCTGTACGGCTACCTCCAGGGTCTCGTCTGCACGGGCATTTGGATTCTGGCGCATGAGTGCGGCCACGGCGCCTTCTCGAGGCACACGTGGTTCAACAACGTGATGGGGTGGATTGGTCACTCCTTCCTCTTGGTCCCTTACTTCAGCTGGAAGTTCAGCCACCATCGCCACCATCGCTTCACCGGCCACATGGAGAAGGACATGGCGTTTGTGCCTGCCACCGAGGCTGACCGCAACCAGAGGAAGCTGGCCAACTTGTACATGGATAAGGAGACGGCCGAGATGTTTGAGGATGTGCCCATTGTCCAGCTCGTCAAGCTCATCGCCCATCAGCTGGCCGGCTGGCAGATGTACTTGCTCTTCAACGTGTCGGCCGGCAAGGGCAGCAAGCAGTGGGAGACTGGCAAGGGCGGCATGGGCTGGTTGAGGGTTAGCCACTTTGAGCCTTCCTCTGCTGTGTTCCGCAACTCCGAGGCCATCTACATTGCCCTGTCCGATCTTGGTCTCATGATCATGGGCTATATCCTCTACCAGGCCGCGCAGGTTGTTGGCTGGCAGATGGTTGGTCTGCTGTACTTCCAGCAGTACTTCTGGGTTCACCACTGGTTGGGTAAGTCGTCTAACCCGATCCTTTCGCCTTTGTCTGGTGGTTCCTGTGATCTTTGTGGAATTAGCAGCTAATTCTCGCTCCCTCTCAAACAGTCGCCATCACTTACCTCCACCACACCCATGAGGAAGTTCACCACTTTGACGCCGACTCGTGGACCTTCGTCAAGGGCGCTCTCGCCACCGTCGACCGCGATTTCGGCTTCATTGGCAAGCACCTCTTCCACAACATTATCGACCACCACGTCGTCCACCACTTGTTCCCGTAAGTTTTTTTTAGATGTCCCCTGCTATTTTTTTCATTCAAAACCATCCCCTCAATGTCCCTCGCTAACGCCCCAAATCCTGCACAGTCGCATCCCCTTCTACTACGCCGAAGAAGCCACCAACTCGATCCGCCCCATGCTCGGCCCCCTCTACCACCGCGACGACCGCTCGTTCATGGGCCAGCTGTGGTACAACTTCACCCACTGCAAGTGGGTCGTTCCGGACCCCCAGGTCCCCGGCGCGCTTATTTGGGCGCACACCGTTCAGAGCACCCAGTAAGCAGTTCTTTTCTGCTTCTTGGGGCACTCTGAGGAGGCTACCTACCTAGGTAGCCGAGTGCTGCTGCTGCTGTGGTTTAGTGCTACCTACTTCGGTAGCTCTAACCGGTACCAGAAGAACGATGTTGGAAAAGAAAGGGAGAAAGACAGGAAGAAACGGAAAACAAATGAATCTCAACTCTTCTTCATGATTGATGAATCTGATTGATGGATCTGTACCACGTTTAGATTGGTTCGGTCGGTCAAAAGGCGTAAACGGTCACCATTGAAAGGTCTGGGATACCTAGTACCTGGAGTTTTTTCATCAAACAAATGATAGACGGGAGAGAGTCTGGTTCAAAGTATGGTAGATCTGGAAGCTATTAGACTTACTAGAGCTATAGACAAGAGGATAGATAGATGAGGGTATGCGTGTGTAGATGTAGAGATGCATCATAGAAGGGAGGGCATGCATGCATGCATGCATGATAGAAGAACCAAAAAATGATACCCACCATAAACATCCAATGCTATTCATTTCCCTGTGTGTCCCGGCCTGCGACGAAAATGGTCTAATGGGCGTGAAGATGATCCGCCCCGAAAGTTGCGCTCGAAGGGTGAAAGCTGGTTGAGATCACCTGCGGCTAGCCAATCATATCAAAACATGTTCAGCATGTCTCGCTCGACGAAAGAAGGGTACGAAAATAGTCTACTCACCTCATCTCGACAAGACATCTCATCACCACCCAACAGCAGCCAAAAGTAGCAGTGCCCGGAAACGCACCACATAAACAAAGAACCAAACATCAAAGTCGTATTTTCATCTACTTACTACCTACTTTTCCATTACCAATCAGAGTTGCCATGTTCATCGATACCTCTACCTATCCATCATGTCCGCAATCCTCCCTCCTCCCATCAGTGCGAACGATCGTACTGTCAATTTTTCCCCAACCGACAGACAGTCTGATCAACACCGAACCCTTTTGTACTTTGCTTGCTTGCTAAGTTACCGTAAGAAAGCGGTGGAACTTGCAATCTGGTTTCTAAAGAATAACCCAACACATTCTCGAACCATTCGATCCCGATCCGATCTGGTGCTGTTCCAAGTCAACCATAAGGGTAAAAAAGACCTTTTTTTTTTTTTTCCGTTTTTCTCCACATGGCCTTTTTTGTTTTTCGTCATTTTTGTTTTTTTTCCCATTCTTTCCTTCCTCTTGTCTGTTCAAACTCTCTTTTCGGTTTTCAGCTCCTTTTCCTGTCTTCGCTCAACACGCCCAAAAACCGTTCAAAAGCAGCCTCACTAAAGTGCCTGTCTGTCTCGCCATGTTCTCGCCGTCCTATCAGAACCAGATAGGCCCACGCATTGTCCTTCATCTCGCAACAAGAAAAAAAAAAAGAGAAGATATGGACAAAAGAAAGGGACATAAAAGAAAGGAGAAGAACACACCGCTCTCAAAAAGTCCTAAATCCTTGAAAATGACAAAATGATAAACATAACCCACGGATCGCTTGTCGCGCGGTATCTCGTCAAGTAATGGCTGTACAAGAATCCAATGTACACGAAACCTAAGCCGAAAAGAGCCAGAGTACCAGAAAAACCACATAACCAAACCAAAAACGCCGTCATTGCCTCATTAGATGTCTCTTGAAGATTTCATCAATGTCATCCTTGTGGCCTCCCAACAATCCCAGTTCCATCCCCCATCCCCCATGACCCATTTTGACCACAAGCCCCTTTCCTAAGCATGTCCGACCTCCCAGATTGTTTCCCAGTGTCGACTCGTATTTGTCCTGTTGACCGTCGAATCTTGTTGAAACGTAATAAAAGTTGCTCCCGTAATGATAAAGTTGGATGTGGACGCTCATAAGAGCATGTATGCCGGAACAGTATTTGCCGTGATAGATACGAAAAATGTAGCAAACGGTGTCTGATGTTGTCATTGTCAACAGTTTATTCCATGGCCGCAACGGACTTCTCAGCGCGCGCGCGCATGTGATCCGCATGGGTTTCGAGACAAGAGGAGATCAGACGGGTTACTAAGAGTTGATTAGCGTTTGCTTTCTCAATTGCGTCTGGCGGGAAATAAAACTTACCCGGCCACACAGCGCCCTTGTCAATGAGATACGCCGTGATCCGCAGTATCTTTGCCGCATAACCCATATGATCATCCCGCTGACCATTGTTGACATTGTTGAGACCATCGCCATTGAGACCATGAGACGTCTGGTCCGCATTCATCTTGAGCTCCGCCCGCTGGATTATCTCTTGAATCTTACCCAACAGCTTGATGTCATCGTCTTCCAGGAGAACCACCGCGGGCACTTCTTTTAGGTCGACATCGTCCCGACCAAGAATCCCCAGGTATCGCCCAACGCGGTCTTGCAGCGTGGCAACCCACTCAGCCAGAACCTGTGCGCAATCAAACGTGCAGATGGCTGACTGCACAGGCAGCTCGCGAGCGGTCGCATCGGCAAACGTTACATTGAACTTGTCCGCATTGAGCAACGAATCAGCCGCAATGAAACCTGCCTTTCGGAGATGGCGTTCTCTCCGTGGATCGGACCTGTTGTTCGTAATAGCAAGTGGCGACTGGCCGAGGTTCAGATTGGAAAAGGCTTCAGGCCTGGCGGTATCCGCGTCTTCTGATGCAAGATTGATAGCGATTGGGGTCTGCTCTGCATGTTGGACTATTTCAGAGCCGCGAGCCAGCTCCTCTGCCATGCCATCCCAATCCCGCTGCCAAAACTTCTCCTTGACGCGAGAAAAGTTAACGTAGAGACGGACATAGGCAAGATCAAGCAACGGAATGGCATCAGCGGCAAGCGGCCCCTTACCAAACGGATTCGGACGCTCTGGGCTATGGTGGGCATTGCTCTCCCATACGGCTTTCCACGCGCGAAGAGCTGGCTCAATGTGTCGATGCATCTTTTCAGTCTCTTCATTCGTCCAAACCTTGTTGTGGTGGCGTTGGCGAGTTTCCCAGATGTAGTTGTGCAGGGCATTGATAAGAATAAGACAACCAAACGTGCTTGGCTTCGGAAGGTTAGTGGTGGAAAAATCATTGCCGTCCGCCAACCTTGAAGCCACTTTCTGTCTCTGGAGGAGTGCCCCCAGGGCCTCGTGAAACGTCATCCGGTTATGGTTTGCGGCCGCGACGCCACCCTGAGCATGGAAGATTTGACTGGAATCCGCAGCAAAGAACTCTTCATCACATGGGAGGTCGAGGAAGATTTCGGAGTTGGTCAAGGCTGGCGTGTGGTTATAAGCGGATACCACGAGGCTAGAAAGAATAAACACGGTATAGAGCGTCCGCTTCCTCTCCTCCATGGACTTCCAGCGGAGCCATTCCACCTCTGCCGCATTCCAGCTTACATCCATGTCCATCGTATCGACATCGACGCTGGGCTCGATCCTGATCGGGTTCAGCAGCTCAGCTCCTTGGGCCAGACTTACCAGCGCGGCAGCGTGGGTTGACGCAATTTCGCCGGAACGCTTGTCGCCGCAATTGTGGCCATAAATGACGTTGAGGAGCATGGCTTGAACAAGCCAGACCGGCGTCTCTACCGGGTTTTCCTGCTGCTGTAACGTATGCTCCGACATGGACGGTCGTCGGAAATCTGCCTTCCTAACGTTTGCTTTTCTTCTCTCATCAAGATATAATTGGATCATCTTTTTCGCCATACCGAACAAATCCATCGATATCTGCTGCTCCATCTCGTAGAGGGCACCGATCGCCGCCATTGAAAGGAGAAGGCAGCCGCTTCCGCCAATACCGTTATCCTGTCCGTTAACCGGGAGCGTGGGAACGTCGAACGAGAGTGTCGGTATGTGGAGGAACGGCAGATGTGGGTGGAAATATCGCAAATAAGCACTGACGTATCGTTGGAGATCGTGGGTGTTCGGGAGGGTGTTGGGGAGCTCGGTGCTGGTGGTTGTCGTCGGCGATTGTGTCGACAACGGGGAGCTGCTGGTTGTCGCGTACGAGTATCTTCGAGCTCCGAACTGGGAAGCCTGGGAGGCCGTCAGGGCACCTAGGATGGCATATCTTGTTGAATCAGTGATTGTCGAGACGGGTAAGGTGCCATGAGTACTACCATTCATGGACGACGGCGTCTCCGGGCCGGCACCGAAATTGTTCAGTGCATTGTTCATGTTTTGACCATTGAGGCCCGAGAATATGTTGGGACTTAGCGAGTTCATTGAGGACGGTGGTGTCGAAAAGTAGGCATCGCCCATATTCTTGCTGGATGGAGCGGGCTGCGGCGAAAGGGGGACCCCGGTCAAGAGATCGGGGAATACGGTGTTGCCCATGTCGCCGAGAGAAAACGAGTTGGGTATTTGCGGGGGCCCCATTATACTGCCCTGCCAGATCGAGCTCGTCTCCACAGCGGGAGCGCGGTGGTTCGATCCATCCACCATTACGTCGCTGATGCCGCTCTGGCTGGCAGTGCTAATGGCCGAAGGCGAGGATCGGTCAATGACATGGTCGTGAAGATCGTTGTTGAAGGACATTTGCTGGTCAAAACCTTGTAGCCAGTCAAAGTTTTCATCCAGATGCTGGCCGCCTGTCATATCAGGAAGCCCGTGTGGAAAGGGAGACAAGGGGTCTACGCCCATCAGGTTCGGCGAATCACTGTAATGAAGTGCATTGGGGTTGATGGTCGAGGCCGGGCTAAACAGCATCGAGGGGTCCCCGAAGTCGAACTCTGGGTTGAAGGGCATAATGGGAGCTGTCCTCAAGCCCGTAGAGAAGTCCATGCCGTTCATGGTATGAGTCTCCAGTTTGGGGAGTCCGTGAGGAACCCCGCGCTGCACCATGGCGTTGGCCATGCCGGTATAAGCGTGATGATCAAAGTTGTGGTGAGGGAAGCCAGCCAAGCTGGGATGTCGGCTGTGTTGTGGTGGCATAGCCCTGGCCGCCTGAGCATTGGCCGCAGCGATCAACTGCATTGTCGTAGTGTCGACGTGACTGATGGTGTTTGCTCGAGGCCGCATGGCAGCAGTGACTGCTGCTTGGGCGGCAGCATTGGGGCCAGGGCCAGCGACGCTATTCTTGCGGACCCGGTTGTTACCACCGGCCATAGGCGCGCTCGTGCTCTCGCGGCGATTGCGAGGACGCGACGATGGGGTGGTAGTCTGATGTAGCTTCTGCTGGTGCCTCAACAACAGATCTCTGCGGGCAAAGCATCTTGCGCAATCTGGGCACTCGAAGGGCTTTTCTTTGGTGTGGGATCGCTCATGGCGCTTGAGGTGTTCCAGACGGGCAAAGGACCGCTGGCATGTTCCGCAGACGTGAGGACGGGGTTTGTCTGTCTTGGGTGGAGGGAAGTTGTTGGCAGGAGCAGCGGGGACTTGGGTATTCACTGTGATGGTCGCGACTTTCAAAGTCAGCCATTCATGGTCAGCCAAGCAGCTCAAGGTCCAAGAGGAATGGGAAGACCACGCGACGATTGATGGTCATTGACAGGGCTCGAGGAAAGCATGGAAGTAGGCAGCAATGGATAAGGCGATCCCGCGGAGGGGTGGTAAGCAAAGTAGTAAAGCAGCAAGGCAACAGAGGGGCATGTATTGGGCATACCAGGGTCATCACCAGCAACGGGAGGTTTCCCACTGGTCGGCGATGGGGATGCCGACGTTGTCGAGTTGTTGGACATGTTGGTGTCGACCTCGAGCTTGCCGGCGGGGTCGCTCGAGAGGGGCATTGTGTGTGGTAAAGAGGAAGAAGGGCAAAGGGCAATACAGAATCAATTGAAAGCTTGTTGGTAGTATGATGGATGAAACAAGCTTTGTGCGGGTGGCACGGAGAGAATCGAGGCGACAATGCTTGTTTGGGTTGTTGTCAAAGGGAAGAGCAGCGAAGCTCAGTCGGCTGTAGAAGAGGGCTGGGGGACGCTGTTTTGGTTCAGGTACCGCCCGACAGGTAAAGCAGCGTACAGCCGATGACAGGCGAGATCGATGGGTACCTGTCGTCTGGTGTTTGGATATCGTACGGCAGGATATCTCGTCCGATGGAAGTGGGCAGTTATTTGACAGATCTGACCGCGGGCTGTAGCTTTGACGACGACGATGGGAAATGCTAGTAGTAGAGATGGTTGTGGTGGGGATTGATTGAGGTGGGCGTCTTGATGGTGGTGGTGGCGGCGGCGGTGGTAGTGGTGGTCCGAGAGAATAACAGTACAGCGCCCCGAATCAGCGGCAGCATGCTAGGGATTCCGACGACATCAACAACAACAATAACAACAACAACAACAACAAACACAGACAGATGGCAATTCCGCTGGCGTCCAGTCCAAGGCCCGTCTCTACTAGATATCTAGGTACGTAATCTGTTCAGTTGTTTCACCGTAGCTCGATATTATTTTTGTTGCTGTTCGAACCTGTTGATTGTTAGGTGTAAATCTGTTGATCGGTTGTTTCGAATGCTGTGCCGTGCAAGACCCGACCGGAACTGTGACTCGAGTGGAAGGAAAGAGACGGGACGTGGACGGCGTGGTGAGGGCGGCGTGGAAGGGGCAGAAAGCAGAAGGCCAAAATGCTGGACCGGGGGGGCAAAAGTGGACGCCTGGAGGGGGGACGGACAAAACAGTTCGCAGTTCACTGTGCACCTACACTCAGACGGACTCGGTGCGTGAAGTGAAAGTGAGTACAGTGCTGCTAGTACTGTGACCGTGTCCTACCTACTAGTACTGTGAACTACTTACCTCTACTACACTACCTCTACTTACTAGAATCTCCATCGGCTCGGCTGGCATTAACGACTTCCACTTTGAGAGCTGTGATGACTGGATGAATTAAATGCCGTGATATGACAGGTCATCGGAGGGCCTTCATCCAGCCAGGTTAGGTACTGGCTTCCATGTTCCTGTCCCGCCGTATGTAATAGGGTAGTAGGTACTATGCCGTGGTAGTGAACTGTGTAGAGGAATGGTGCGGGAGGAACTGAAGGAACATCGAGGCTCTAACGAGGTGTGTCACTGTGTGGAGAGTCCTCGATGGTGACTCGGGGAGGGTACTGTAGTGGGGCCAGGAATCGTTGGATGGACCTTGGCAAAGTTGTGGGGCTTCAGGGCGAGACCCAGCACTTGAACGCACTTGCACGCCCTTGTTTCTGGGCATTTTCAAGGCCGCCGGCCCCGGCCTCCACATTGTCCCGACGGAACTTGCACTTTACAAGGCAAGAGCAGCTTCGGTCACGATCTGGAAATGGACGTAGCGCCTTGGATGTTAAAATGATGAGACCGGCATCTGCTTCGTTGAAGGTCTCTTCTCTTTCTGGCTTTGGCTGGCCAAGTTGCAGACTTCCCCTCCATTGATTGCCAGGCATTTTCGTTACAAATGAACCACCTACTGCACTCATACATGTGTGGTCTTGTACTTGTATACATGGTAGTGTATATTGCATTACAGGGTGTTAACTGTTACTTATCATTGCCGTCGCCGTCCGTTAATGATATCGTCGCCGGGCCGCCATCATCGCCTTGTTCTCTTCCTTGTCCGTCCAAAGCATCACATTACGGCACAACCAGAACGGCGAAAACCCCTGTGAGACTGCAACACACCATGGCGCCCTGACCTACCTGCACTGGTACCGGAGAAATACCTGGATAGCGCAAGTGACAGGCCGATCCACCTGTTACCGGCCGGTTTGGTCGCCAGAGTTGCGCAGGTGACCCCGTTGATGAACCGTCAGCGGTCCTCGTCCGTCTTCGTACCTGCTACTACTACCATAGTATGCAAGTCTTGCCAAGTCTGCTTAGGATAGCTGGACCCTGTCAATTGAGGTCAGCCAATGGAAACGATTCAGTCATTCTCTGACCAATGAGGGATGATAATCAAGCGTCTAAGAGAGTCACTCGGCTTGCTGCCACTCCACGTTCCGGGCATCTGCAACTGAACAGGACTCTTTGCACAGTGGCTCTTTCCTTCTGACTTCAAGTTGTTCTTGAGACAACCAAAGAGGCCATCGGCATCTCCCACTTCGTTGAACAAGCGAACTTGGAGCACGGCGGGCATGGCCTCTTAGACTCCCGCCCTCCTTGTCTGGGGCAATTGCAAACGATTCATGTGTGTACTATGTCCGCGGCATGATCATGATGTGTGTGCACCAGACTGGGAAGATGGAAAATGACATCACTGTCTGTTCGTCCACCTGGTGCGGTTAAATGCTATATGGTCGTCCATCCAAAGAAACAACTTACATACGTAGCTACCTAGTGATTTGCGCCTCTTGAAACCATGCATCTCCCTCTCATCATATTTCACTATCCTTCAGTCTGGTCGACACCGTCCGTACCGACCACAGTTTGTTTGGCACAGTCGCAGCCTGCAGTCAGTCGTCAGCCGGAGCATCTGCTGCGCGGCCGACCCTGACTTTTTTTGAAATACGCGTGTGCTTTTCTTCTTCTTGGATGATCAGATAGATATCTGGGACCCACTCTAACCTGACTGATCAAGGATGTTCGATGGCCGATCTGCGACTGCAACAGGCCGGCAAGTTGAGCCTCCAGATTCGCCCCGACAGCAACCACAAAACATCAGTAGCACAACACGTGGATGACAGACACAACTGATGATCTTCTAGATTTCCTCCCCATCGTCAGGAACAGGGTATCTGATGCTTCTGCCTCGGACTCTTTTTGCTGCAGCAGTTCTTGCCCGTCGGCTTCAATGCTACTCTGGCTACCTAGGGCCGCGTCGGACAAGCCTCGCTCTAATTGACCAGTTTTATCGCAGCCTTTTCCGCTTTTGTACTAGCCTGATGCACCTTATCTGCATGTTCTCCCATTCGTTCACTTCTTACATTCATTTGTTCACAGCCTCTTGATACTTTTTGGTTCCGATGCGTGTCTTTGATCAGAAGTTACGTTAACTTTGCTTTTGGGAAATACCATCACCAAGCTCAACAGTCCGTATCCACTATGGGCAGTGGTATACATGATGAACCCTTCAAGTTTTCGTCGCAATGGCCCGTTTTCCTTTGTTGGGCATCCCGACTCGCTAAACTGCTCATTTCAAGTGCGAATCACAGCTTTTCTTGGGTCACAGGTTCAGATCGAGACTTTGCACTTGGCATAAAAAGAACAAAGAAATGCGACCTTCCTTCTACACTGCGACATGCCATGCCACCACTTGGAGCGGCATGAGGCCCGAGATGTGGATGAGATGGCCTCAATGGCCTCAGTGGCAATGGCCTCTCCCTGAGGCCCAGAGAAGAGGCTCAATTACCAGCTCACTCATCCAATGTACCGATTTCCTAGTGGACAATGGCATTGCTATTTCCCATTCCGCGGTTACCTTTCTTTGCCAAGAAACATCAGTTCTGATATCACTTCTCACCATCTTCAAGGGCGACGTGGTTGACTGTACGATACATGCTGCCCTCCACTCACATGGACCATGTACAATCGCTGCCAGATCCAAGTGGGAGCTATCGGGACCAACAGGGCATTGCAGCGCATGGCATGGCATGGCATCCAGGCATCCGCGGGCGTCCTATCGATATGAGACCTCGAGATGGATGGTGCCAGACAGACCCCGAGACCCAACGCGACCTACGCTAGTTCCGTGTGGTTCATGCCTTGGGCTTGCCCTAGAAACCAAAAAAGGGCGAGACGGGGTTATTGCGGCTACTTATCGCCAATCACGTATTTTCTCCGGGTTTTGTCCGGACATACCATTGAGAGCTTGACTGTTGCCACCATAGGGTTGACGTTGGGAGACCATGTTTCGTTTATTGGCAGTAGGAAACAATATTGTACAATGCTGGTTTGTTTGTTCGATTATAGGTTAAATAGAAAAGTCCTGGAGCTTCTATCAACCTCTCAAGAGAGACAGACTGTCCTCTGATGTCTCTTTGTGGTTTGCTTATTCTTACACCCATGGTTCGTAATCCGCACCAATCTCGACATCCATCTAGGAAACTGTGCATAGCAGATCTGGACACAATACCAATTCACTTGAGATAGTATATATAAGAGAAGACAGTCAGAGAAGATAAGGAGTTTTCTTCCCTATCAAACTGCTATCATCGCTGCTATCAACAGCACGTGATTCAAAGATCCGGGGTTCTCCCGAGACTGGCATTCCTACTCAGGTCCTATTTATACCTTGACGCTTTGAAACTTGACAACAAGTCCCTGAGTTCTGAGAAGTGATCAGGGATCCAGGGCTCTGTAAGCGGCCAGGAACATCGATCCGCTGACTGCAAAGCCAATGAAGCGGCAGTCTGAGAGACACAGTGTGTCAATCAGTGGGATATTTCAGTGGTCGAAACTCACACAGTTGAAATCCGAAGCGCATTTACTGTAGTAACCGTGACTACCTCTACACTGCTACAGGCAACTGAAGCTCCATCTGGACCAAGCTCACCACCATCAATAATCGCGGACTGGGGATGGACAAGCAAGCTTGCGATTAAATCCTTGCGCGGTTGCGAGTCCATTCCACAAAGAAAGGGACTTTGTATTTTGAACGACTGACACAGATCCATCGCAATTGGACCTTTGGTGTGGCCGGGCCCTCGATGCTGAGCTAGTGCTAGAAGCTTTGACGTTCCGCGGGAGTAGACCTGGCTCGCGCTTGCAGTGCACAAGTCATACTACTACGAAATGTAGATATCAACTTTACGATATTCAGATATCAAAACTACGTTTTGCTCCAACACCGCGGTTCCCGCATAGACATGCGGGGGGCCCTTTCGCCGGCTGGTCCCCTGCACATGCACGCCGGAACTGCCCTGACCCCTAATTGACCCCTAAGCTCCGCACGCGCAGTAGGCGGCTTACAGCATGTTGCTTGGACGCGGCGCAATTTGTTGTGCGATGCCTCATTTGCTATGGTAGTGTACACTAGAGCCGCGACACAAGTCTTGGGATTGCTATCAGATCAGTTCAAGGAAAAAGAGCAGCTGTTCAGAGCCGCCATGTCCAGCTCTTCGGTCACGATAACAATTACTACTACCTCTACACCGTTTGGCACCTGTCCGACCCAGCTTATGTTTTCAGCACCTCTAGGTAAATTACCTCTCCTCTAGGAACTTTGGAATCGAACGGAAGCTGTAACTGAAGCTCTTTTCTGTTCACAAGTGGAAATGCATCATTGCACCTACTACCTACCTACCTATCGAAGAACTCCAAGTCCGCTGCCCGCGCGCTTGTCTTGCTTTTCTGGTTGCCTCGCATGAAGCCCATCCATGGTAGGTACCCAAGTCCGAAACCGAATCCGTCTACCTGCAGTGATGGTACGCTATGGAGGGAGCATGGGGTATCCGCGGCTTAACATGGATTTGTCCACCGACCTCGCTGCGTGGACTCCATCCAGACCTTACTGGCTGACGTTAGGTATTGTAACATGGCGCTCGAAAAGCCAGGAAGGCCTGGCCTACCTCTGTACTCAATCTCATCACATTCATCGCCTCGATTCTCTAGAGTCCGCGGAGACCGCGGAAGCCCATGAGGCCAGGGGAGGCCATTCCTCAATTGCACGAGGCCAATTTCATCTGCTAGATTATTTCGCGGTCAGAGCATTAGGGGTAGGTAGGTATCTAGGTAGGTATCAAGAGGCCCAAGCTCTTGTTTCGGTTTGAAACCTCCATTGTAGTGGTGGGTGGGGGAGTGCACTGCCCGGGAGAGAAGGAACTGGACTGTGGTGGGTGGTGTTAGGTGTGTGACCCCCAACATCCATCCTGGCAAACCCCAACATGCCGCCCCAACCTCAACGCAACGCAACATCGGACTGGACCCAGAAAAGCCCAGAAAGTCCAAGGGACGTCCTTGCCTCATTCACGACATGACGGGATCCCTTGTTCCCTGGCAGTTTTGATCAGTTACCTGTACATAGGTACCTTCCTGCAGCAGTAAGTGCATGATGCCCGTCAAGCCTGCACTAGCCGATACTGGGACAATACATAGTATGTAGCGACCCGACTCAGAAAAGCTTCCATCGATTATATCGATGGTTTGGTTCTAATGCAATCATTCACCAACGTGACGAACGAGGTGACGGGATCGTGGCGCAGCAACGCAACCACCTGCAGTGACGGGACTGGACTGAGTGACGTCCCAACCAGACCCTGCAGACCGCTGACTACACCTACATGATGTAGTTCAATACCTACGTAGTGTGCTTTCAAACGTAAAATCAAGACAGCTTTGGGATGGTAGAAACGAAATGACGCACAATTCACTGAAAGATTCCGTTCAGGGCGCGCCCCAGGCATCTCAAGCGTGCAATTTCGATCTATGCGTGGGTTCGCGTAGGCAGCATACATAATCCAAAGACGCTTGGCTTGATGTTGAGATGCCTGGCATGCCTCTTCCGTCAGCAGTAAACAGATAATGCACTGCAGGCAGTAAGGCTGCGTTGCCGCCTACGTACCTACATTGCCTCAATGTCCAAAATGTGCCACCAACTTGCCAGCATTGAGGCTGGACTGACAAGAACGAAAACAAAAGGACTCCTGCTTTGATGAAAGAAGATGAAGCCATGTAGTGAAGAAAGAGTTCGGGGAAGCGGACCCGGGGCCAGACATCTAGTGTAGATGGGACGGGCGTCTGGACATGGATGGGAGGTAAGATGGTGGTGAGACACGGAACGAGGGACCAAGCTCCACGGAGCTCACCACTTTGAGCTACGGGCAGCCCAAGTACGACTCAGAAATCGAGGTGTGATGTTCCTGATGGTTCGACGTCCAACCGGTCCTCCATTGACTGCTGACCTCGAACGGGGCACTAGGGAGGGTGAACTTGGAAGTACCCGCTTGAAGAGGGCGAGCCTGGAAGCACGACACAACGTGCGATTAATCCATTATGGAAAAGCATTTTCCTCGATGAAGATGAGATGCTCGACTTGGACTTATACAAGTAGACATGAGGTAGGTGTAGCTACCCCTCCATCTCATCTTGCCCGCCCGTCCGTCTCAATTCCAAGAAGTGTGTGCCCTGTCTCGGAGGGGCGCATGAATGGAGGGGTCGCCAGGGGGAGATTCAGGTACCTTGATCGCTAGCGAGGGGTAGACGAATGTACCTAGTGTATCTTTGATGAACCGCCGGGGCAACAGTATGGTAAATTGCCATTTGCTCTGCGATTCTTCTCCAACATGACTGTATCTCAAAAAGTGACGTTTTGGAGAAGACCCTTTCAAGAACCCTGAAGAGGGAACCGAGATGACAATTCTTGATATGTGTACATTCATGCAGTGAGGGGGGCGACGAGGGCTTGCTTCTCCAACTCCAACACCTGCAATGCCCCGCGCATGGACCAAGCCCTAGACACCCGCCCCCACTCCGACAACGCTGACACGGATCTCAACAGAACTCCAAGTCACAACACAGACCACACGCTTTGAAGCCGGGACCGGGGGGCCAAAGGGGGCCCCCGGAAAATCCACATCCTTTCTCCGCGGACGGGACCCGCTGAGATCCGGTAATTTACCCCGGATTCCGGATGGAGTCTACCTATCCATCTCTCCACAGGCTCCGCAGTCGGGGCTCCACGCCTTGAACGTCAAACACAAGTCGACATGCCGATGATGGTGATCGAATCCGACCGGAGATCGATGATCGGTGATCATGTACAGCAAATCCTTCCGTTCAAGCCGCCGAAGACACCCGTGTGCGCCGCTTCGGGGCCATTTGGGATTCGGAAGCCTCCAGGTAATCAGCCCGGAAAGCAAAGTAGTCCTCAAGTTGACTCTGGGACCGGGTACGTACAAAAGATGACGTTCGAGACCAGCAAAGCCGGATAAGGTGAGGCTACAACAATTTCAAGAGCTCAATGGGCTCGTTATTTGGCTTCTATCTGCTACATCGCTATCGACTTGCTCGTGCTCTTTTTTCACGGACTTGTTGCTTGCTTAGGTATATTACGCCCAAGTAGACGAAAATTCCATCCGTTCACAGGCTGCTTGTTGACATCTTCAGACAGTTCAATCCCGATTCGTTTGTTAGCTCTTACCCCAAGTAGGACACATGCCAACCCATTAGGTATGGTCAAAAACTAATTTATCAGTATCTGATTCGACATATGTATGCTAATTATCGAAAGAAAACACACCAACCAGTACCTATCGAACTGCACTTAGGTACACATACTCGGCCTTACGCTATAATCCGGGAGACATGGGTGAAATTGGCCACACACTCCATTTATTCATGCCCCTTTATTGACAGCCTTTTGCATTGCCAAGTCTCGAACTTTGCCTTTTTTTGATCCATCTAGATTTCCTGTTCTCCACCAAAAAAAGGCCCAACCAACAACCAACATGAATCTTCACCAAACTACCAATCCATGAAAGCTCACGAAATCAATCAAAACACAATTTGAGTCTAGAACAAGAGCAGCAACTCCTTTGGTCCTTCACTTATTTTCTCATATTTCCTTTCCTTTTCTTTCCTGTTTGGCCCCTGGGATTCATACGATCCCATCACACACAGACACACAGACACAATACGCTGTACTCCCCTTGCCATATCACAGTGGGTAACCAGCAACTTCTCCCGTCCCCGTCCCCGTCAGTACATGTCCCCGTCCCTATCCCCGAGCCGCGTGGATGCCATGCTCTGCCATGTCATGCCATGCCCTGGTCCCAGCCTGCAAAGGCAAAGTGCAGCAAGCAAGCCCCCGTGATCGCCTCGTGCAGGCTGGCTGGCTAGTCTAGTAGCCTACATACCTACATATGTACCTACATACCGACCGGTCGTCTACATACATACATAACCCTGTCACACTGCAGGATGCAAAAAGTTGCAGATGCAATCCAAACCTAACGAACCGTTCGAACCGTTCGAGCCGCTCAAGCCGCTGCTGCATGGGGTTCATTTGGGGGAATTGAACACACAGATATAGGATGAATATTCAAACACCATTTGGAGGCTGGGCAAGTTTACGGTTGCGTAACACGTACGACGCCGTTTATAGGGATACTGCATGTGTAAATTGATGCTGGAACTCGTGGGATCATATCATATCATTATTATATCAGTGAGTTGAATTAAACCCAGGATTGACTGACACTCGAGATTCCAACATTTCACCAAAGCGTCAGGTAACGGAGTGAAACTTCATTCGGATTCCGGAACCAGTTCAGAAAATCCAAGAAAATATGTACCTCTATATATGCCCGCCCATTACAATGAAGGGGCCAAGTCACAGAGACCGCAGGTGGCCAATTCTATCCTTTCCTTACTTTGCCTCTGCCTACCTTACCTACCTACCCCTACTTTGGGACCAACAGGCCGAGGTACACAGCACTATACAGCATACAATACCTCACCTCGCACGACATATACATACAACACGAGGTAACAGCAATAGCATTACATCCTACCTAGCTACTCTACGCAGCACATCGACATAGTACCCAGCAAGTAAGCAAGCAGCCAAGCAGGGCCGTCCGCGAACCATAGGTATTTCTTTTAGCAAATTCCACAATTCTTCCATCCAAATAGAGGCACCAATAATGACAGGACTGCATGCAATGCTTCTGGGTGACAAATGCAAGTTTCGATCTTTGTTCTCTCTTTTCTTCTTCTTTTATTATTTTGAAGAATTGCCCCATGAACCGATTGGATCCCCGGGGCGTTTGACAGACGTACAAGGGCTCTACACAGAGAAAACAACATGGGACGACAACGATTGTGTAGATGAATGAATGGCTATACTATCGCTAACTCTTTTCGTATTCTTACAGCCCAAATCCACGAAGCAATCCCAGCTGGTCTATCATTGACGCCTTGTCCTTCTTCAACCTCTATACCTCAAGTACCCGACAAGCCGTTCCAAAAGTGGAAACGGGGTACATTACTGTACATATCTAAGGACTCCTTCTCAAGCAGACAAAACATTTCTTGGCAGGAACAAATCCAATAAACAAACTTCCATCCGGTACCATCCGCCTACACCACTGCGCAGAAAAGACTTTCCCAACACCAATCTCTTCTTGCCCGTTTCCGTGTCGGCTCTACCCCGTCATTTCCACCTCGCACAGATCGCAGCACTCACGGAAGCGTGACAAGATCCATCAAAGCCAACCAACCGGCCCGAAGTTCCCATGATGTCGAGGTGGAAAGTGAATGGTTACTTCCAGTTGGAGACGCCTTGCGTGATAGCATTCGCTGCGTCCACACAGAAGGAAACGGCCGGGAAGTTTCTGGTGTGCAACTGTCAGCGATAAATCTCATAATCTGGGAATAGCATTGACCTACTCATCCGGCACCCAGGGCCGCCACTGGGATATCGTTGGCAGGGGCGGCGTTAGCAGGGGCGAGGTCCCTGGCGAGGGCTACCTCTAGTACACGAGGCTGCCAAACTACCAGCTGCCAGGGCTGCTCCTCCTGCTCCTATTACTGTTGTTGCTGTGGTCGCTACTACCGCTGCTCCTGCTGATGGCGGGCCAGCGCCTCACCGAGTTCTTCGGGGCCGTGGGGGATATACTCGCGTGGCAAGCGCCTGTTTCCGGCTAGCGAGGAATAGAGAGAACCGAGAGGACAAGGTAAGCTGTTGAGGAGATGAGAAAGGAAGAAACAAAAATGAATTGGAACATGAAGTATACTTACAGCGGCCAACCCGGCCAGACGAAGAACATGTGGGAGGCGAATACCACCAACCACACGACAGCAAGCAAACACTTGACCCAAAGGACCGTCCAGAAGGCTGCGGCGGCGGTAATTCCCGTCGACATCTTTTTCCGGGGGTGGGGGGGCAACCGAGGTGTGAACAAAAAAAAAAGACACGGCGGGCATGGCACCGGTGTGCAACTGTCAGTGATAGATTTCATAACCTGGGAATATTGATTAACTTACTAGAACCGGATCCACGGTTGCCACTAGGGCCCGCGCTGCCCTGGGGTCATGCCAGCGACAAGAGGCTGCTGTTGCCAGGGGATCTGCGGAATATGGGACTTTGGGCATCGCCTGTTTCTGGTTAGCGAAAAACAGAGAGGAACCAGAGGATAAAGTAAGCTGCAAGGAGACGAGAAGAGAAAGGGAAAAAACAAAATGAATTGGAATATAAAGTAGACTTACAACACCCACCACCGTGGCAATACGGACACAGCATTGCAGGAAAATACTGACACCCAAATAAGGATGGTTAGGAGCTTTGTGAAGAGCGCGGTAAGAAATGCTGTTAGGCAGGTCATCTTCGCGAATTGGGACTTGGAGAGCGAGGGCACACAACAAAGTTCCTAACAATGTTGAAGAGAAAGGAATTTTGACGAGAGATTGGGCTGGGCGGCAGCCGCAGGGCCCCGCGGCCAGCCATCCTCCTCCTGCGGACGAGGGAGGTGGGCCCTGGGCCACCGTCTGTTTCTGGTTAGCGAAAAACAGAGAGGACCGAGAGGACAAGGTAAGCTGTCGAGGAAATGAGAAGAGAGAGAAAGAAACAAAAATGAATTAGAACATAAAGTAGACTTACAGGAGCCAGAAGCTTGTCCGTGTATCCCTGGGGAAGACCACCACCATGTTGATGGTGAAGACAGCAAGCCAACGTGCCAACATGACGACCTTGGGCATGAGAACGGGCTCCGCGAGGGCCCAGAGCGTCTGGTAAACAGACATCCACATGTTGAAGGGTTGGTTGGGATGGAAAAATGATGAGACGAAGGGATGGTGGAGCGAAGGGATGGAAGCAAAAAGAATGTTCGTTGTTTAAAAGAAAAAACACAGTTCTTAACTATGTTGAAGAGAAAGAAAATCTGACGAGAGGTTGGGCCGGGGGAAGAGGAATCTTGTAGCTTTCTGGTGCCTCAACTGAGCTGGAAAAGCGTGCTGTCTGTGGTAGGGGCAGCAGCTGTTGCTTTGTTTTGTCAGTGGTGCGTTGGGACATGACTTCCAGCGGAGAAGCTAACCTGAAGGCACCTATAGTATTCTTTCCCTTGATGATGCCGATGGTTCCTTCTTCGGTAGAAGTGGCGCGGAAGGACTCGGTGTCAATGGTCGAGGTACGTAGGGGAATGCGATGGACACCCGGAGGTCTTGACGAGAGTATGTTGACGGAGAACACGAGGAGCCATATGTTGGCGAGGAAGACCTTGTGCGCCAAGGCTGCGACGAGAGTGTTGACCGTCACGCACTCGGACATTGTGGATGAAAAGATGAAAGCGATGTTGGTCATGAATGCATGATGAGATGTTGGTATGGGATCCGTTGCGCCGCTCCCAGCTTCACGGGGCTGCTCTTCCTGCCAGGTTGTTTGCAGCTTCCAGCGACATCTCAAAGGCCGGCCACGCTCTGTGCAACTGTCAGTAATGGATTCCGTGACCTGGGAATAACATTGACCTATTCATCCCTAACCCACGGTTGAAGCTAGTGGGCCCGGGGAAGGCAAGGCGGCCATGGCTCTTCTTGGTTCGGGTCTCGGGCACCTGGGACGTGGGCGCATAGCAGCCGGCTGTTTCCGGTTAGCGAGGAATAGAGAGGATTGAGAGGACAAGGCGAGTTGTTGAGGAGAGAAGAAGACAGGCGAAAGGAAGGAACAAGAACGAATGGAAATGGAAAGTAGAGGTGGACTTACAGGGGCCAAAAACAAGATGGGGGGAAGGTAAAGGCCCATGTAATGGCGAGCACTGGAAACCATACCAAGACATATGGATGATGCCCGGCGAACGAAAGGATTGTGGGGATCATGATGGACGAACGCATTGGTGAACGACAGCGACCAAAAAATAACGAACGGCGATGATGTGAATGATGTTGAAGAGAGAAAAATCGAACGAACGGCTGGGCCGGGGGGAGAGGGATCTTCCTGAAAGATTGCGCTCGTGGTCTCGCGGGACGTGTTGTCTTGGGAGTCGACTGTTTCCAGCTAGCGAGGAATATAGAGGAACGAGGGGACCTTGTGCCATAAGGCAGCCATCAGGGTGATGGTGATGATGATGGATATGTTGAAGCGAATGAAGATGTGATGCTGACGAGAAAGAAACCGACGACAAGCCGAGGCGGGGAGAGGGATCTTATAGCTTTCTGGGTGCCCCAACTGAGCTGGTAAAGCGTGCTGTATCTGGTAGGGATATGGAACATGACTCTTCCAGCTTCATGAGAGAACCAAGGGAAGGCAGGGCCCTAGACGGAGAAGGTAGGTAGAGGTAGGTAACCTGAAGGCACCCAATATTGTTCTGTTCCTTGATGATGCCTGAGTTAGCATGGTTCCTCCTTCGACGTGCCGGATCGTGTCCTCACTCCAACCTCAAGAACGGAAAGACTCGGTGTCAAGGGGAAGGGAATGCGATGGACACCTGCAGGTCTTGACAAGTGCCTTTATCTCACAGACGGCGGGGTTCGTCTAGTAGACACAAGCGTTTACTACCTAGACTGCGGCCTGTTTACAAAAGACAAGAGCGATGACGGCATCTCTCAGCTGGTGTTGGGGGCGGGGGCAAGGCAAGTAATTCCAGGCAGTCACGATCCTCCGCTAAAATCACTGCACTTCTTGTTTGTCGACAGACCGAGTGCATCCTGCACATGGCCCGACGCCTTCACCTTCGAGAGGTACACTTACTTCCACTACTTGCTTCCCGCTTCCAGAATCAAAGCTGAACCTTCCTTTTCGTCCCGTCACCTTCTGTCTTGTTGTTTGCTGCCTCCACGGCGTAGCCCGGTCAGATGTCGCATATTCTGCACTGCAGTGCTTTGGTACCTAGGTATATTTAGGTACCTCTAGGTACTTAGGTACTTATGCTGCTGGAGAAGGTCTTCCACGTCATCACACTGGAGTGTACCTTCCCACAGCGGGAACAACCTCCAACTCTTGTCTCGGCCACTGCAGTACTTACCTGTAAAGGCGTCTGCTCCTGGCTCTCTCAAGATGTCCGGTCAGAAGTTAGGTGACCTTCGTTGCGTTTCGATCCCAACAAGAGACATGGGAGTCTCCTGCCGCGCGGCGCCCACCGTCGCGCCCTCACCCAGGCCGGCGGCGGAACATTGCAGGTGTTGCCATGACCACGAATGGTCACCAGTAAGGAATGTGGTGGTGTGTTCAGTACGTGGCATCTCACCGTTTTGTAACACGTGAGACATAGAAGATTGTCCATGCTCGGTCTGTTTTTATATTCGTTCGGTAATGTACCTATCTACCTATGTGGGTGTAAACCAGCGGAGCAGGACTACTAGTGATCAAATGCCGGTTGTGGAAATCATGAGATTTGAAAGACCATGTATTGTTTTGTCTTGTTTGTGTGTTTGGAAACCATGGCTTGTCGAGAAACTTGCCACTACCTATTTAGGCAGAGGTAGTTGTAGTCTGTAGAAAGCGCACCACATCCAAAAGTAATCCCAAGCAGGTACCTAGGTACCTCTAGGCTTCATTTCCCTCTTTGTCCGTGCTTTCCTCCAGCAACACTACCTCTAAGGTACCTCTACACCTGACCTTTTCCTCCCATCCAGTAGAGGTAAGTACCTCACACGTGCTCTTTGAGATCCACCTTTCATCTTTCGAAGAGGCACCTATCGTGGCGAAGAAGACGAAAGCTCGTCCCGAGAAGAATTTGCAAGTTCGCAAAGTGCACCAGCAGTAGCGACCAAGCCGATCACCATCCTGAGGGTAAAGCCGAAAGAGCCCTCCCCGTCGTCATCGCTGTCAGAGGTGGTATCATCTTCTTCGGAAGAGGTACTAGATGTACTACCTGGAGTGCAGCAGGTACTAGAATTGCTGGAGGTAGTACCGGAAGCATCCCAAGCCGTCTTCATGTCCTGGCCCGTCATCAAAGCAGGCCACATCCGATCCACCAACCTACAACGGCCGTTGAGTCCCGAAAGGATACCTCCGCCGACTCCATGGCCATGGGCGTGTGCAAATGGGAGAGGTCGCGCCCATTCGATGTCATGCAGCCGCCGTTCCATGTCCTCCAGCCGCCGTTCCATGTGGCGTCTGTAGTCGGGAGTGGAGGAATCGTGATCATTCCGACGATGGACATATGGTCTGTCATAGTCGTTGGGATCTTGGGAGATGAAGGCTGTGGCGAGCATCTCATCGTCACAACGCTGGAGCTGGAAGAAAATATTTTGTCTCGGTAGCAACCACCACTCTCTTGAGCCGGGCCTCATGGATGTCATATGTACATCCCTGATGGGGTTGTAGGCGTTGAGACGCGACATCGTGTTTGTGTTCCTATATGTACCATGGCCAGCAGGAGTGCAGCCAGAGAGTAGTAGACTCTTCACGTCCATTTTCTTGACTGCTTTGCGGGTCGGAGCAAAAAGGTAGGCCACCACGAGCCAGCGGCCTGTCAGCCACCTGCTGTTATCGTCAGACTGGTCGTGGTTGTCTTGGATGTCTAGACGTTGCGAGAAGACAATCCGCCGGGCGTAGCGGAGATTGGGATAGCGAGCGCGTGGGTAGGCGTAGACGGGATGACGGCCGGCAAAGGCGTCGGGTAGTTGATGGGAGGTCCAGTTGGCTAGCGCGCGCGTGTCGGCCTTGTTTTCTTCGTTGTCGTTGGTGGAGAACGCAGAGGCGGTACCGGTCAGACATTCCTCCAGCTCAGTGAGCTGCGTGGGGAGATCGACGAAGAAATGGCGAAGTTCCATATACCATTCCGCCTCAACAGTCTCGTATCTGTTGGTGGACTTGGCGACATTCCAGTTTGTTTCAACAGGATAATGTTGAGAGACGAGAACAGATGTGAACTTCCGGATCGCTTCTGGGGGAGGCCTGAGCTCAACGGGCGGTTGAGGAGGTGGCTGTTGCAGTGTTTCTTCGGTGAAATGGTATAACCAAGAGCGAAGAGTGTAACTCATCTTTTGAAAAGAGTATTTCCAGGCATTGTTGCTATTCTTTTCATGGAGATCAAAGACAAGCTGCGTGTTCCAATCTTCGTAAAATCGGTAGTGCGGTGCATCATACCGACCGCAAAGCTCAGGTTGTCGGTCGGGCGTGGCGCGAAACTGGTTGCCTCCAGACTGGGGGAAGACATCGTAGGCATTGCTGTTACTCTGTGAGGAGTGGCCCATGGGGTCTTCGGCATCAAGGACAATTTGATTGCTATATTGGGTGGCAGGCTGTTGGATGGATCCGTCCATGTCTTCGTCGTTGGAAACGGCGCCGCGATACCTGGGGAGAATAGTCGGATTGGACGACATGATAAAAATGGTCGAGCGTAAGTTGAAGGTTACGTAGAGGTAGATTTAGTGCATGTGTGGATGTTGGGGAGTTTGTATGACAAAAATCATTTGGTAAAAGAGGGAGAAAGGAAGGGCGGGTAGGCTTTAAGTACTTGACCTCTACGGTATTTAGAGGTGTGAAGGCGGAAGGCACATCTATAGGTATCTTGCCTAACTGGTTTCAAATCCGGTATCCGAGTTGGACTTCCTGCTTCCCCGGCATACCATACGTGTGCATATTTGAGTAAAATGCACATAGAACTTTCAGGCGGTAGAGGTACCTTAAAATCTCGGGTCATTGATTTTCAGGTTCCAGGGAAATCAGACATAAACAGGAAGCATACTGCAACATTTGTGCCTACTAGAAATTCTATGCAAGGCGGTGATGCAGAATGTCCCCACCCTCCAGCTCACTTGAAGGAATAGGTGGGAAAAGGTATAGATCTAGAAGAATCAAATTTACCGAGCTCCGGGGTGGCAATATAGCTCTCCCGCTCTTTTTTGAGTGCATAAAATGTACAGAATCGGGCATATGTATGTCTGCATATGCCTGATTCCCCTGGAACCTGAAAATCAATGGCCCAAGATTATACGGTTCCTTCAGTTGGATATCAGACATGATCAGATATGTATGAGTCCGAAAGTGCACCATTTCCGCCCATAGAAAATACGTGTAGCGGGGACGACGCATTGTCACCCCGAAGCATACATTGTAAATCCAATTCTTCTGGTGCCCTGTCATTTTCTACTGTCTTTCCGATAGTGTTGGCGAGTGGGGACATTAGAATTCACCTGCATGCATACAATTTCTGGCGAGCATGATTATTGCAGTATGTTTAAAGACCATTCCTGATTTCCAGGAAACCAAAAACGGATGGCCTGAGTATATACGATACACAGACAGGCAGGATCCCAGCACATCCGATCGAGTACTTCCTTATGTTTTCAAGCAACACAGCATCTCCCATTGTCCCGCACGTAAGCACGAGGTTTGTCTTCTGGATCTCGTCGGATTTCAGGCTATCCTTCCGTTCTGTGCAACTCAGCCAGAAGAGAGGTATCCACGACAAAAGCCCTCATACTCTTGTTCCACACATGTACCAAACACCTGCAACCAAGAGCGAGCATAAGGTCTCACCCGCTCCTTTGAAGTACCGCAACGGGCAAGACTTTGTTTGTTTACGGTATGGTGTTGACTGGCCTCAAGCTTGGGAGGGACAACTTGTTCGTCGGGAGTAGAAGATCCGAAGTGCCTCAGGCACCGGCCTCGGTATCGGTGGCAGCGGGGGCGCCAAACGGGGTGCTGGTGCTCTGGGATCCATGATCGTGCTGCCCGTTACGATTTCGTGGTGTCTGCATGGAGTACCATTCGTGGCATACTCCATATCTACTCCAATAGCATCGGGGTCGACTTGGATTGGAGAGGTGGGCGTGTCGGGGGTAGCAGCTCGTTCTCTAGATCTGGTGACTGGCTGGATTGTCGATTAGCATTTTCCTACATAAAATCGTAAAGGGATGCGAACAATGAATGGATTGCGAACGGAAGGCAACTTACAAACCCCAGAGCTGATTCATGCCTATCAAGCCGTCTCAACTCTCAAGTGAAGGTGAAGGTGATGATGTAGATGACAACAGAGTCCGAGGCACTTGGATGTCGAGGACATGATGTTTTTGATGATGATGTGATTGCCAAAATTAGGTACCAAAACTTGAATGATGTCGATGAAGAGAGGAGAGAGGAGTTTCGAAGAATTCAAGAGCTTCTACAGTAGCCTTGGGGCTGGTCGCATATGTAGAGGAACGACATGAATCAATTGACCACAGAAGGGCCTTGTGAAGTTGACCCGAGGTCTCGAGCTCAGATACAAAGAAACCAGTATTGGACTGTCCAACACACGAAGAGCATCCGGCATTGCTATGCTGTGGAGAAACAAGGGAAGAATCAAAGTTGCAACACCCAGCCGAATCATTTCCCAATCCCAAAATCTCAATGGTGAACTTCAGTTGATAATGGAAGAAGAAGAAGAAGGAAGAGGAAAATACATCCTACTGTGCTCAACAGCGGCCTGCCAGGTTACAATTCCGTCATTGTTGCCAGCGGAAATCACACTTCAGTTGCGCTTCTCAGGGCTGGCGCAAACTGAAGTGGAAGTCACGGCCCGGACTGCTGGGTGCTTGCCGTGCGATACTGGGACGATCTGGACCTTGCCATGCGGGATTCGCCCCACACCCGGAATACATGATCCGTCAATTCCATTCGCACTTGCTTCTCGCTTACCATTCCATCCTATGCTGGTTTCATTGGTGCAGAGAGTGACGCGGCGCCTGCCCCATGTTCAGGACCCAGGTTAAGGCATCATGGTACCTCAGGAAGTGGCAGGACGAGAGGTACCTCTAGGTTGTTGGGTGCGTATCTTGATCACGATAAAGGGCAGTCACGGGGACTTGGCTCCATGCCCGGAAATGAAAGGATCACCAGTCACAAGAGGCCTCTTTTCTCGAATTTATGGTGCCGAGGTGCCTCACATCAGCTTGGTTTGGCTGCCCCTGGTAATACCAACCTCAAGTCTCGGTGAAGGCGCCCTCTTCGATGAAAGACTTTTTCAGTGGAAGTGACGGTTTAACCTTCCACCCTTTCCTTTCTTTTGCGGATCACGTCCCCAACCCACGTCATGAACAAGCCAAGAAAGCTGAGGTCTTTTGAGGAAGGAACCTCCATCCTCGTGTCTTTCGAATGTGGAAATGAGCGCTCCCCAACAAAGGAGCATGAACAGGCAATTGCGTTAGGGTCATGAAACATGTGGAGCTTAATTCTAGTCCCCAAGCCCGAATGATGGACGGATAAGTAAGGAGTGTCCGGCCTGTACTGGGAAAGAGAACTTAGATGGCTCCCATGCGCACTTGCATATTATGATCATGATACCATATTAACGACAGTAGGCAATGGGATGTCCAGACTAGGCCAACTTGGAACATCGATACGACCACTGCTCCGGCTCACGCCCCTCTCGCTCTCCCCGGGCCTTTTGTCAGGCAGATGCCCCAGTTCTTCCTTCCTGCTGTCAAGGTGGCCATCTTCTGCCCCGCCATCGCCACGGCAGTAGCCAAGGCAGTAACAAAAGTCCAGGACAACTGAATTGACCTGTCGGGTCCGAGAAGGCCGCAGCGTGAGCGCTCACGTTTGAATTGAAGAAGGCGCAGGCCAGTTTCCGCACTACCAAGATACATAAAAGGTACCACGTACCACTCCGTCGAATGAGGTCATGACGGGCAAGGGAAGGGAAAGAGGGGACGGAGAAAACGACTGAGCAGTCTCCCCCCTGGGCCCGGTAGCAGAAAAAGTCACCATCAGTTTAGTGATTGAACAATGCCGCAGTGACCATTGACCAACGACTGAATGCAGTGTGCAACGCCCCCAATTCCGGGCAACGGGGAAGAAACGGGACTCAGGATTGGTAGTCGGGCGGCGAGGGCGTTACACCACTAACATTTACAACGCTAAACCGGCGTCAGCTTCGATAAGGGCTCATCTAAGTCAAAAAATAAACCGGACACCTTCAGTTACTACAGTCAAGTACAGGAATTGACACCTTTGGCATCTTCTTGCAGGTATTTACAAATCTTTGTTATACCTCATGTTGGTGATTGAATGTGTTTCCCAGATTTAACAATACCTATTGACCTCTCGCAGATATGTTTCCAACTTATCACAAGGCATTCCATATTTTAGTGGCGGTGTTTCTCAACACTAACGAGCAGCATTGGGCTATCCGCATTTGCTCCATCTATCCCCTTCTCCAGCTACAATCGCTCCGAGGTATGTCTAAAAACAACGGAACGGCCCGGGCCGCGCAAGCATTCCATCCGACCTGGGTCTGGGTAGAGGTGCCTACCTCACGTTTGAACTGCGAGTCCATCCAGTCCTTCGATCCGATGCTTCGTAACTACCCCTACCTAGGTAACTATCGTTACGATCCAACCAATAGGCTTAGATAGATTGACCAATCAGGAAGGACCCAAGGTCCCGAGTCTACGGGACTACAGGATAGGGCTGAAGACCGCTATATTAAATGGCCTCCTGGCCTTCGTTATCAACGCTTTTGGATAACCAATAGCTTCTATGATTATTTAGCACCCCTTCCTTACTACTACCGTTGTTCTATCCCAGCGATATACCTACTCTTGTACTTGTAACGGTTTGTCACACCTATCTGCCCGAGACTGGAAAACACTGTCATCCCATCTTATAGATAGAAGAGCTTTGATCAATATCCACTGCCCGCGCAAAGGAAAGAGTTGGCCGTCCGGAATAAGATAAAGGAAGAGCGGGATAGGCGTGAGGAGATGACTGGCAACATAGCTGAAAAAGGTACTCTCGGGGAGGTTCCCAACCTTACTTCCCTCCTTGGTGTAGTGGTTGGCGATTCCGGAATCCTGTCCCCAGCGAGACGCTACATGTAAGTGCCCGGCTGGGGCTGGGGCGGCTGTCTTTCCAGTCGCATGTGCACATCTTGAACAAACAGAACAGACGAGGCACGAAGAAGGAAGGGAAGACAGGGCAAGCGTTTCCATGCCCGACGTGTTGAGGTCCGAAAATGCCTACCCTGCTCCAGTCCACCACTTTTCAGAGCCGCTACCTTGAACCCTAGAAAAGACGCACATATTCTTTCCGTCAACAACACCAGAGCGAGCATTCGGGTAAGCAGTAACATACCATCTTGATCCTCTTTTCTGCACCTCCAACCGTGGTAGCTGTTGCGGAAGCTTCACACACGCGGGGATTATTTGGATGAGAAACTCTACTCGCACGTTGAGAAAACTCTATTCGTACGTTGGAAGAAAAGGGAATTTCAATGTCTTTTCTTACACTCGAAGCTATATAAGAAGGACCTAAAAAATGAGCTTGACTTGCCGCACCGTCCCTAATGTCCTCATGCACCCTTTTTAGCTGTTATAATTACAAGGCGTTTTTACGTATA